TTTTCTTTTTTATTTTCTCTTGGATTAATTAATGAATTTACACAATATCATTTGAAATAATCTTAGGTATATGAAGATTTAATAAAGGTTAAACGAATTCAAAACGCAATTTGTGCCTATGTAAGTAAAGAATTGATAAAATAAAGGTGAAATAATTTACGTTTGTTATAAAAGTGTTTGGATGTTTGTTAAATATACAAAATTGTGGTGAAGTTATTCAAGTTTTAAAGAAAATAAAATTTAATAATGATTAATTTGAAAGGCTTTTATAAAATTATAAGAAAAGATTTCTTATATAAATGAACTGCCCCCCCCCCCCCCCACCCCCTCCCTTTTTCATTTATTCAAAAGTCACAAGAATTTTAAAGAGAAAATTTAATTTAAATTTTCGTTTTCTTTGTTTTCCTTTGTTTAAAAAGAAAAATTAATTACGTGCTTCACTTCACTCAAATTGAATATTTTACTTATTTTAGAAAAGATGGCGTATATAGGGTAATTAATTTAAAGTAAAAATAATTTTTAAATGTTTTACAAAATGTGTGACTTTGTATATTGTAGAAACAATGTCGATTGATTTCGTGTACTGTAGAAAATTTTTCATTATTTCATAGTTTTTCTACTTGTTGACTTATTTTGGTTGTACTGTCGGCTCACGGAATTTATTTAGTAGAATTAACAGGAATTTTAGAAATTACGTGCCGATAAATCTATTTATACGTGTTTGCATTGAGTGTATGCACAACATTTACTTTGTGTTTCTCACGTTCTCAAGTAAGCATTGAGCGTACACATTTAATTTGTACTCCTCACATTCTTTCATCTCTCCTACATATGAGTTTTATTTTTATACAAGAGAGGATGTGAGAGACATAAAAGAATAGAGTGTACACGTGTAAACAGGCTCATTGCGGCTCAAATTTTTCATAAATTTATATACGATTATTTCTCGGTAGAATGTGTCACTCAAAAGGTATTTACATTAACTTTTTCAATGCTTATTGATTCTTTTACTAAATTGCAGATTTTTGTCATTTTAATTTTAATTTCGTTTCTATTTTCAGAATAGTATAGTTTCAGAATAGATTACTTATTACTCCTCCCTCGTACATTCAATAAATTTTCATTTGATGCCATTAAATTATAAATTAAATTGAGAATTGTAAATCATATTTTTTTTTTTTTTTTTGGAAAATACAATTTAATCAATATTGAGAATAAAAATAAAAAAAAAGAGAAATTAAACAAAAGATTTTATCGCTTGGAAATTTTAATTACAATATAATGAAGATATCACCATATTATTACCTAATTATATGCAAAATTAATCGTAAATCGAATTAACAAGGCTCGTTAAATAGCACATTTCTTTTAATCGAATGAGATGAAGAAAAGGAAATTTTTTTTTTTGTACTACTCTTGTTATGTAAACTGCTATTAATATTTCCTAACTTTCAAAATTTCAAAATTCTAAAACATGTCATATGATAACTGTCAAAAATGACATTTCCTAAATTTAACGTAGGAAGATTATGTTAAAATTTGTTTTTAAATTAATACGTTTTTCATGACAGCTCGTAAGTAACCTAACATTCTATCTTAAAAGGCATAGGAGTTTGTTAAATAAAAGTACTATAAAGACCCGAACGAATAGACAAAATCAAACTATTAAGCATATTTTTTTATTTCTTCAATTTTGTTCGAAATACGGTAAAAATTATATAAAATATTTAGATATTTATTTAGCTTAATGTATATTTATATATAAGACATGATAAAGATAATAAATAATAATATGATTTTAATACAAATTCAAATAAAATAAAAATATAATTTATATAAAATGATATTGAGTTGAAATTATTATAATTTTTTTATCTCATTTTATTCAATTTTATTAATTCTACATAGATACACGTATTTCGAATGAATACATACATACACATACGAATAGTTTTTGTTATAAAATTTCTATTCAAATTATGTACATTCGTACGCAGCTCAGAAGGAATTCCAAGACTGAGTGAAAAATATTTTACCCCATTATCCGATTCTGTACTGTTCTAAAATGAAACTTGATAATTTTTCTATAATATTAATACATTTTTATTTGTATAAACCTATACATTTGCATAATAGAAAGAATTTTTATTATATATTTGTTTAAGGATATTTCAATAATATACGAATTATTATTTATATATACTAATTATAATGAAAATTGAAAGAGTTATTATAAATACCTTTTGAATGACACATTCTGCTGAGCCATAATCGTATAAAATTTATGAAAAAAATTGCATACATTAGGGCGTACGTTATCATAATATAGCGAAATTGTAATAAGAGAATCAATTTAATTAAACAATAGTTAAATGATTTAAAAAATATAAAAAAAAATATTTTAATGAATCACAATAGAAATTACAATATTTATAAAATTACAATATTCAAAATATTCAACAATACAAATAAAACAAATAATTTTATAAAATTTATTACAAAATTATTTTTGACATTTTCACATTTACATAAATTAAAAAAAAAAATTAATTCGATTTTATTTAAAAAAAAATATGGAATATCACTGCATTAAAATGCATAAAATTAAATCGAATTAAAAATAAATTTTGTATTTATTATGCAAATTACATGATATTATTAAAAGTATTTAAAATTATAAATATAAAGGGTCGATCATTTATAATTTTGTACTTAATTTTAAGGTAAAACATAAAATGGGCAAATACAATTTATTTGCAGTTTAATAAATAAATTTATTTTAATTTTAAGAGAGAAATTTATTTCATTTTCTTTTGTATTACATAATTTCATGCTGTCAAACTAAATTAACTGTCTGCCAAATTAGCAGTCAAAAAAAATTATATTTGAGCTACGCTCATTTTTCATTTATTGCTTATATTACTGGAAATATTATTTTTGCGTAAATTACAATCAAAATTTTATAAAAAAATTCAGTACAAAACCGAGTAGTACAATTATCGCCCAGTAGATTGATTACCTTGTCGTACAATCGGTAACTGTTTTATAGTTGATTTAGTGACATCCAGTAAATTTTAGTAATCAAACAATTATGTTGAATAGAATGATTTAAAGTGTACACTTCAATCATTTTCAGTTGACTTGTATAACAGTTTCTACAATAATATAATTTTGTTTAGTTGGGACAGGAAGGTCCGTTGTAATACCGTCGGATTCACCAAATCCAGCACTAATTTTTCAAACCGGCTAAGGCCCTTAGCATTAACATTCGCCAGTTCCGTAGTCCGTAAAAAGAAAAATGAAACAAGGAATCTTAGCCTTCTTTCTGTTCACCACTGTTTCCTTCTCCTCTTCGTTACAGCAGCTCCTGCAAAGATCGTTTTTTACGTAATTAATTATTGTTAAGAACTTCAACAGCCTACTATTATATCAAAATACAAAACCTCAAAATATACTACTTAAATTCCATGAGATTTAAATATTACAAATTTATTCCATTTATAACTCACCGCACAACTTCCCTTTTTTAACAATATTTTAACTAAAACACGATAGCTATACAATTTTAGTAATATGTGCTACAAATATTCTTACAAATCACACAAGTTTGTGTAAAAATACTTAAAATTTCGTTTTTTGTATACAGCCTTAAGGATTTATTCGAGGATAAGAATATTATTGATCGGATATTTAATATGAAAAAAAAAATGGAAAAAATCTTCTACTATGTCTTCTTTAGCACAAACATTAAAGCAAAACATTAGTCTAAATGGTGTACCGCAAAAATTATGTGTCTTACTAAACAGAAACAAAATAAAATACAAAATTTATACTTTTTCGCCTTTCGGGACAATAAATTTTAATAGCAATCGATTATATATTTAATAATTTTTTATAATATTTTTCCACTTATTTTACAACTATAGATAGTAAAAATAAAATGAATATGTTTCTCATATATACCATAAATAAATTTATTACAATAAAAATGAAAAACAATAATTTATAAACTCAATTTCTTTAAAACTTTAGAATTAGTATAGAATTTTTTAACCTTCGCAAAAAAATTGATTAATATGGTGCATATGCAATATTTGTATTGTACCAGCTCCTTACTATATGCAACTTTTATTAATTTGCTTTCCATTTATTCTTTCATTCATAGACTACTCAATGTACTTTAAAATTGGAAGTTCTTCATCCTCTTTGAATTATATCTATTGGGAATACAAATCTTTACAATTTAAATTTACAAATAGAAATTTACCTAACCAATCCTCTAATACTAAAAAATAATGGAAAATTGTGAGAATTTTCAAGTGCATCTTTTAAATTAATTGTTATCATATTTACGGTTTTTTTGGTTTTAAGATTAATTCTGGCTTGGCGGGCAACTCGGAACAGTAGTAATTTTTGGGCAGTATATCATAAGAAGTGATAAAATATTTTAATTGAAAAAAGCACAATTTGTTTGTAACATCTTCTCGTCACCATTAATATTTCTTTTGACAACCGCAAAATGTCAATTTCTCAAGAAATTATATTGCCTTAACACTAGGGGCGTCCCTTAGCTTCTATAAAAGTAAATACAATTAATACGTTAATTAAATATTAATGTACAATCTATTTCACGCTTAGCTTGTACATAAACCATCTTTTTTAAATAATTATTTTAAAATTCCTCCTATATGTATGCAATATGGTAGCATTAATATTACGTTATATTAGAAAATTAATTTTTAATATTAAATATCAAAATCCTTGTTATCAGTATTAATAAAAAATAACTTTTAAAATTCTAATTATTAAATATTTAGACAATTTTTCCAAATTTTCCGAGTTGACGTATGAAAATTAAATGTAATTGCAACTACTTGCATAATCATAACTTTTTATTAAATAATTAAAAATTAAAAACTACTCAACTATTTTTAATGCAAAATAAAATCTTGAATTTAAATTTAACTTATTCTATTTTTGTTTTTTATTTTCTCTTCCAGAAAACACTCATCAAGATTATTATTATCTTCAGAAGCAGAAAATAATTTTAAAAAATATTATTGAGTTTAAAAAGCAATGGAGAAACTTTTATCAAAAGAAGTTGAATTAAAATCCTTTACTGAATATCCAAAATTATCAAAAGAATTACAAAAAAATTTTTATCAACTTGAAAAAAATAATGTTGATTCAAAGGACATTATCATTAATTTTAATAATAGTAAAAATATTTTTAAATTAAATGATTATTATTATGATGAAGGTGGCATTATAAATACAGCACTTAATACTGATTCAGACAATTTATCTGATAGTGGTTACGATAGAGCAGAAATTGAGGTAAGAATAAACAAAAATTTTGAGGAGAGCCAAGATTTACAATTTTAATTCTTTTTTTCAAAATTATTCATTTATAGGAAATCTCACAATCAGATAGTAGTATAATGCCACGTTTACCTGGTGATAGTGATCCACATAGTGATGATGATAATTGTAGTATTACAAATCATGATAATAATAAAGAAAATTTTGAAAATTTAAAAGAAATTTTAAGAAATAATAATAAAAAAACTGATATAATCAATACGAATTTAAATCAAGAACATAATAATCTTGATTTAATAAATAATAGTAAAACAACAATTAATATGTTGCAAAATTCTATAAGATCACCGGTACCGACAACATTAAATGTTAAAGGAATTGAAACTGGAAAAATTATTGAAAAAAATATTAATAATGATTTTATAATAAATGGGACCAAAACAACAAATACAACAACAACAACGACAACAACAACACCAATTGAAAGAAGAAAATCATCAACACAAGATAGAGCGATAATTGGTGAAGAAGGTCTTAATATTAATGGAATATCAGGAGGTTTGTATAATTTTGAAATTTAGTTTTTTAAACGCTAACGAAAATCTTATTTCCCGTCGAGTTCTGCGCTTATTGAGCTATTTCAGTCCGTTTTTTTGTATGTCTGTTTGTATATATAAATCGAATATTATTTCCTCTGAGCACGTCAAATTTTTAAAAATAGTTAAAAATAGTAAGTACACAAACCATATTTACTTTAAATCCAATCAGGATGACGGTTTACAATCAGCTGTTGTACAAGTTTAAAAATTGTTTTAACACATCTCAAAAACTATGTGAGTAACAGTACTGCAATTTACACTCAGCGCAGTTTTCAAATTTTCCTTGAACGAGTTGTGAAATAAAGCCGCACTGCCCCATGATAATTTAATCGTGAACTTTTATAAAATTTCTTATTTCCCCTTTTCGTATTCTACTACCAGTTTCTTGCCGTTTCGTTCTTAATAAAATTCTGCTTGCTAGTACAATATTTTTTTTAAGACCTCCATAACAGTAACCTTACGTAATATTTCTTATTTTATTAATTACAGGCGATTACGATTCATTAAAACAAAATCAAAAAGTATTTAATAATGAAATTTATTCAGCATTTAAAAAAGCTAATGTTGTTAAAGGTATTCTATGTCCGTCATTAACAAATTCATTTAAAAATCGATCACTTGAACGTTCCTATTTAACATATACACATCGTCAGAGGCAAAAATCATTAATAATTGTGAATATTGTTGATTTTATATTAAAGGCTGTGTTAGCAATAGTATGGTTACACAATTTAGACAAAGATAAAGTAAGTAGTACAGATAAAGTTCATAAATAATTTTTTAAAAAATTGGAAAAAATTGAATAATTTTAACTTTTTTAATTAAAGGAGAAACGTACAACTGGAAATGTTAATATAGAAAATCCAATAGCTTGGTCAGTTTGTTGTATGATAGCAAATTTAGCGATATGTGGTTTAGGTTTATGGAGATGTTTTGCTAATAATTATTTACATTGGGCCGCAACATGTACATGGTTATTATTTAATATACAAGGTAATATTAGAGGTAAATTGTAAATGTATCCGCAATTTATGAATATTTATAAGAAATTTTTAATATATAGACAAAAAAAAAAATATTTATATTTTCAATCCTCAAATTCACTTAATTGGAAAAGTAACAAAATTGTAAGGAATTTTTTGAGTTTTCTTTTTTCTATAACCCTCTATAGAATTTTCAAAATGTCATATAAAATTTTAATTTTGTATATTTTTTAATAATTTCCCTAAACTGGTTTTAAAACTTGAAAATATTAAAAATATTTTTCAATTATTACAAAAGAGAAAACTCCACTGAAGGTATTGTAGTCGTATCAAATTCAACATGTCGGGTTAACTTTAGAAATGAATTTCAATATGATTAAGATATCTAAATAAACAAAGCTTTCTGATAACGTGAGATATGATTCTCTTGTCCTAGTCACAATATAACAATTCCTACTTTAATATTAGATACTTTTCATTTTAAAGGAAATAATTCAAAAATTTTCTTAAATTTTTATATGGATCATGTATAAGCTCTCTCTGCCACTCATACAAAATCAAATTATTTTACTTTTACAAAAGGGGAAATAAATATTTTTGCCCTTATATATAAGTAGTGGGAAATATTCCCAAGAAACAAAAGAAATTTACCTCGACTCTAGCGGTTGAAACCGTAAACTAATAAATTTTTGGAAAATATTCGGCACAATTCTCTAATCCTGATTTTTCTCATTTTGATGATCAATAAATTTTTAATTTTTTCATTTTGAGTTCCTGTTCGTCAATGGAACTGTTTACCGAACAATTTTTAGGATAATAAGACTCCAGTAAGTGAATATGTTCCAGGATCCAAATAAAATTCACGAATTTGATCGGACATGTGCTGAACACATAAATTTTTTTTTTCTTTTTGATTTTTATAACATAAACCGAATATTTTCCAATTCAGCATTCATTCTTTTCATTGTTTACGTTTCAAAAATAACTTAAAATTAAGAGAAAGAATTAAAAAATAAAAAAAAGGAAAAAAATCCATCATCCTTGAGCAGAATTTTTCTTTATTTTTCATTTTGTTTAACTTTACTCGTATACGTTTCGAAAAATGTCAATAACAGATTTTCATAATGCAAAAGAAAACTGTGGAAAAAAAAAACAAAAAACCAAGAAAAACAGGAAAGTAAAAATTTAATAAAGAAGTAAAGAAGATGGAAAAACAAATTTCAATGTTCAACAAAAGGACATTGTTATTTGACTTTAATTTTATATTCAAATAGTCAATAACTTGTCAAACCAGAGGATAATGACCACCACCATGCACCATACATAATGTAATGGAATGATTTATGATTACATATTTTTTCTTTTATCGGTTTAATTTACAAAAAATTTAAATTCAATTAATTCTTAATTTTCATTCCATGTATTCCACTTTATTGGTATCAATTGTAGTGGGAAAAGGAAACACAAGTGAAAATCATTATAAAAATTTCTTAAACTACCAGCAATTAATTTGAATTTGAATTTTTTTAATATTGTTTGTGGGCAACAAAGAAAGTTAAACAGAAATGTTAATAATCCTGATTTAGAAATTGAATGAATAATTAAATTATTGTATTAAAAATTTCAACAATGTGAAAATTAAAATATAAAAACTTTTGATTTGAATTTTTTGTGAAAACTTTAGAAAATTTAACTGAATTATTTTTGTGTACAACTTTGTTCATGGTAACGTTAAAACAATTGATTGCAAAAATTATTTATATTTCATCTTTTATTTAAGAAAATTAATTTTATTTTGTGAAAATTTTATTCGGAATGTAATCGAAATGAGATCAATTCAATATTGTAAACTTTTGAGAGGAATTCAAATTTATGGCAAAAATTATTTACTTTTTTAAATCTTAAAAACTAAAGTGTGCTGAATGAAATATAAAAAACTCCGATTGAAATTCGGCCCTCTATAATTCTAATTGTATAGTGTATAATTCAAGCGAGAAACAGAAATTGTTTCCAACACAAATAAAATAAGACCAAATTTTAATCGGAACTTTCCTCAAAATTTATCGATTTTAAAGTTTTCCAATTGGAATTTCGTACAAATTTTAAATTTTTGAAAGAATAATTCTCCCATATTTACAACTATTTTAGATTTATTCAAGCATTTATTTGAAAATTTTTTAATTTAAAGCAAAATTTCGAAATTTTACGGAAATATTTTCATATTGCCCCTAAATATATGCAATTTCATTTTTACAGTGAGTTACTGTTAAAATGCATAATATTTTACTGAGGATCGAAAATTGATTGTGAATATTAGTCCCAATTTTAATTATTTATACTTAATAATTTTACGATATTAAAATATTTACGATATTAAGAACATATAGCCAAAAATTTTAAATAATTTCATACCATATATTCTTAAATTCTGAAAAAAGAAAATTAAATTATTTTTAAAAAATATAAAAATTTAAAATTTTCAATTTGCAATTTCATTTTTTTTTTTATCTCATATAGGTTTTGTTGGCGAAGGACTTGGTTTCGAAGATCGTGAATATTATTTAGTTTGGTATATTTTATTTATTATTTTTGTACCATACGCAATGTTACCGTTACCATTAAGATGGTGTGTTATAGCTGGAACAATGTCTGCTTGTTGTCATTTAATTGTCATAGCTATTGTTAAATTGACAAAAGAAAATGATTTGGAAGGTGTAAGTATTCAAAAATTTTTTTAATTTAAATTAATATTTTTGTATTGTTATTTATTTAATTAATTTCTTTTTTTATTTAAATAATACAGAGTGTTTCAACTACTCACCCCTTTCCCTTTTGAAAAATTCTTCAGAAAATGCAATTCGGATCTAACAGATGTCATACTTGACTAAAACTTCACCTCACGTGTATTGCTCAATTTTTAGGATTTCAATTGCTTGGAGTCCCAATTGCTGTTCGTCGCATATTTCCAGTCACGAATAATCTCCAGATCTCAAGTAGTCCTAGTACAGTCATCACCACATACTTCTCCGTTCTGTCTCAAATAATTTTCTTTTTTTTTGTTAATCGGTGTTGCCGCAGACCACCAAACTAACGCTTCACAGGTTAAAATTACGGACGTATAGAACCAATAAATCAAGTGAACACGTAAACCCTAACATTATTTACAAGCAAACAATTACGTTTGCGACCCTCCCTACTCTATATTTTCATTATAGAACACATTTTAGAGAATCACGTTACATTCTTTCCAATGGCCATTACTTAAAGTTGATTCATCGTGTACTATTCGTAATACACTGCTCCACTTCCACAAGAAATAATTTAAATAGAACACGATTTTGATAAAAGTCAACTGTGCTTCCGCCTGTTTAATTTATATGTGTTTCTAAATTCTCATTAATTTCATTCGAACGTAATTAACCCTAGCTTAACTACAATACTATATTTGTTATAAAAATTTAAACAATTTCGACAAAAATATTTCAATTCGAGCAAAATTTAATTGATCAATTAATTTTTGATTCAAAACATTTCTATATTCTATAAAAATTAACATATATTATGACAATACATGTGGTATGTCGAAGTACGACACATAATGTCTAGAGGACTTCATTACACGATGAGAATTTTAAATAATTTTTTGTCCTTTTCACAAAGAGAATTCCCAAGAATTCTCATTAAAATTCTTAAAGATTTAAGAAATTTTGTAAGACAATTTTTTTTTCTTAGGAAAACTATAATGTCCTTTAACAGGATATTATGTTAAAATGTATAGGACACAACATCATAACATAAAAATCTTTATAGAAACTTTTATAAATTTCTTTCTTTTCTTTTTTGAAACACTCTGTTTAAATTATCCTTAAAAAATAAGAGAAGCAAAAATATTTTGTCTCCTCACAACTGAATTTTTCTTGTTTTCTTTTTTTTTCTATTTTGTTTAGAAATTTTCCTAATATTTTCTAATATTTTTTTTTTCTCTCTATTTCTATATTCTTGTCATTTCTTATATAGACTGATTGTGTCCTTTATCAAATTTTCACCAACTTTTTATTATATACGGCAATAAATGTTGCTGGTATGTATACAAAATATTTAACAGATAGAGGACAACGTTTGGCATTTATTGAAACTCATAAAGCAATGGAACATAAAAAAGAATCAGAAAATGAATTTTTAAAAACTCAAAAGTTACTCGATTCAAGTAAGTTTTTTTTTTCTTGGAAAATACAGAATGTTTTTTAGATTATATACGAGTATGTGTGTATGCCTGTGTGTCTTTTTTTCCAAAGTTATCTTTACAAAATTATCATATACTAAAATAATATTCATTTTTATAACTTGATAACTAGCACGAGCAGATTGAAAGCGATGCAATATGTACAGCAGAAGCGTATACAATAATTTATTTATAAAAATTTTAGACTAGAATTTAACAGAAGTTTTCAAAAATATTAAAAATTTTTCTAAGAATTTATTTTATATACAAAGTACACAAATAGTACACCAAATAATTTAAGATAACTAGAAATTTTCTCAATCATTTTAAGTTATTCTGTTGTGGAATTTCAGAATTAATAATCTTTTTTAAACAAATTGCGGTCATAAATTTTTAAATTTGCATTTTTAGACCAAAATTTGTATATTTTGAAATTAAAAGAGATGAAGAGTATATTATGTATGAATTAAGTATAAATATAAAAAACCTCTGTAGATTTGAAGTAGACTTATAATGTTGGAATAATTATTATTATTAATCTAGTATTGTAATGCGAAATTCACCAGAAGTTTTCCAGAATTCTGCGAAAATTCAAAAGCTTAATCATATATTTACAAATTGAATTGAGGGTAATTACCCGCAATAGGAGTAATTGATCTGCCTCTATAAATTACAGTTATCTTTGACCGACGAGGTAATTACCCTTAAGGATAGCACGGTAGTTACCATTAGACATAGTCGAGTAATTACTCCCGAGTGTAGTCCTCGAACATAATTGTTTAATTATCTTCTACCGCAACAAAATAATTAACCTCAACAATGAAGGGTAGTTTTTTTGAGTAAAGGAAGTAAAGAGAGTAATTACCCTCCAACAGAGTAATTAATTTTGACTGTAATACTCTCATATGTAATTAAGTAAATATCTTTGCTATCATCTACGTAATTACTCCCAACTACCTCAAATAATTACCCAACTGTAAATATTACAGATTTGAAAAGAGTATGTTGCTGAGAATGTAGACAATTATGATGAAATTTCACAGTAGACTACAAAAATTTTAGAGAATAACCGAAAGTTTATATCAAGTTGAGTTGAAGTCGAAAAGTTCAACAGTAAAAATATTTGTTAAACTTTTCAGTTGACACGCTGTAGTCTGTACTGTCTTTCTACCCTCTCTACTAACAAGATTGCGTAGAATTGTAATCAAAAATAGATTTTTTTAGTAAAGTTCCTCTTTTATTTCTTTACTTTCTTTTTTATTGTTGTTTGAAAGAGTTTGTAATTTTACTATAACTATGATTATGTGAATATTTGCGTATAGTTCTCTCTGGTTTTGATAATTTAGTTAATTTTGACCTATTTTTAAATTTTTATTTTTCCTATTATTTAGAAATTATGTAACCTGTGTATATGTATGTGCACATATGTACATATTTATTCGTTAAAAGTTAAAAAATTTTTTTGTTTGAATTTAAAAATTACATGAATTTTTGTTCATTTATTTTTTAAAATTAGAATTTAAAATATTGTTTTAGTACAAATATAGAATATTTTGCAGCAGCCTGACATTTTTTTGACTTGGAAAAATGTGAACAATTTGAAATTTTTACATTTCCATATAAAGTTGAGGGTAATTTTGTAATGAAAAGCAATACAATAGAATAACAAGAGAAAATTGTTTCTTAGTAAAGTGCTTCTATAGAATAAATTGGAAATCTTGTTTTGAAAATCCAAGACCTCTCTTCCCCCCCTCCCCTCCCTTGTTCAGCTTAACATCCCGTAGAAATGTTGAACATATTTACAGTCTAAATTAAATTTTTAATAAAAAATAAATTTTTCGGTTTAAAATACTAATTTTCAATAAAAAAAAGAAGTGGCACGTGTCTAGTAAATAGAAAAAATATTTTAAAAAAGATTCCTTTTCTGAAAACTTCATATAATATTTTCTTGCTTATTTTTATATCTATTCCCGGCCCGAATAATTCCAAATTTCTACTTTGTTTTTGAATTTAGTTTTATTATTTCCTAGTCTTAGTTTTATTACTGAGGAAATTATTCTACATAAATTTATTTTAAAGCATGAAATTTCGTGTTTTTCACTGATCTTTTTTTTTCAATAATTTTGGGTTTCAACAGAATTTCAATAAAGAAATTGAAATTCTAGAACTATATTGTTACTTCTTACTTGCTATATTGTAATAAAGCAAGACACGTTTTCTGTTGGTCAATAGTATTTCAACTAATTAATGAAATATGACAGAAAGAGAGTGGGTGGAAGGGGGGGGGGAGGGGAATTATTTTTTTCAAATAATTGAATATGAAATCAATTTGTGAGAGAACATGAAAATTTAATATGAATTTCCATTATATGGAACTAATTTATTAAAAAATAAAATACAATATGCAAAATTAAAAATTTGATAATTTACAAAATAAAATCAACAACAATTTACCAACAAATTTGATGCATCTGAAATCTTCACTTACATTCCATTAGGGAACACATGATATAGCTCAATGGATTCCGCGGCATACTGTACCAGTATGAAAGAAAATTAATAATAAAATTAAGTATTAACAGGAAATATCACAAGTTTTCAGTGTCCGATAAAAATTTCTGATGAGAAATTGTTGATGCACCATACGAATTCATATAGAATCCATCCCTAATGAGGAACGAAATAATTACTTACACTTACGTACTAATTATACTAAAAGTGGGGCTACTTTTATTAGCTATTGTATTAAAATTTCTTGTATGGTAGAGAATGTCATAATATTCTATTAAATAACCCGATTTAGCAATGATGAATCAAAAACGACCACAGACACAGCATTGAAGTACACATTCTTACAAATATTTTAATCAATACACATACAATTGGATTCACAATTCAGTCTATGTATACTTATAAAACATTCTGAGAAAAATTTTAAAATTAAATCCCGAAATGGAACAGTATATTAAAAATAAGATTAAGATTACGTTCCTGTCCCAGTTAATTTTAAAAAATGTTGGTTTTTATTTAATCTTTTCAACCCAATTTACCTTAATTCTGTTCATATACAATATTAAATAAAGATCCTTATATAAATGGTTTAGAAGTTCATAAATATATTTTTAAATTATTATATATACACACATATACACACATACTTTATTCGTGCACAAAATAATATTAGTAGAACACATTAACGTCCTTTAAATAATAATAATTTTAGAAAGAGAATTTCTTTTCTTCTTTTGTTTTTTTTTGTGTTTCTCCAGTTTTACCAACTGTAGTTAACAATGAAATCCGTAAGGAGATGTACAGAAGTCCTGATACTAATGTTGAATATCAATTTAATAAATTATACGTTTATCCAATGGAAAATGTCAGTATCCTTTTTGCAGATATTGTGGTAAGTTGCTATTTTTTACTTTTTTCATAAATTATCCTTTAACTCCTTTACAAAAATCAGCGATTTCATAAAATGCAATTTTTTGAAAAACTAAAAAAAAAATGAAGACAATGTTTTTTAATTTTAGACAACAAATCTTCTGTTTATTCCGTTTTTACTTTAATCTCCTTACATACATAAAAATAAATATTTTCCAAAACACTAAACTCATAAAAAATCCAAATAGATGTTATAAAAATAGATCATTATTTTCTTTTTTTAATTTTTCTTTAAAAAACAGGGTTTTACAAAGTTTGCCAAAGAAGTGAAATCAGCCCAAGAACTAGTAAAAATTTTAAATGATTTATTTGCAAGATTTGATCGGATTGCTGAGGTAAGATTTCTACAAGTTTTTTGTCACAAAATTAAATTTAATAAGAAAAATGAAAATTGAAAATAATTTGGATGTTTGTTCGGAGTCCCTACGAATTGGTGAGTTATTAATTGTCATAGATAAGAAAACAAGGAGAGCGGAAGAGGTTATATATGGGCCCCTGTGTAGACGTATGACAGAAAATAAGCTTTCTAACCGACGAAAGAAACGGCAAGTGCGTTGGACATATCATTTACCATTGTAAAAAATGTTGTCACTCTAAAAAAATTTGGAAGTGAAAATGAACGTGCGAAACATACTATATGCAATTGCCCGAATTTGATGCAGAAGCGAAAAGGAAGGGACTTGGCCGAATACGGAAGAAATGGCATGTCCAGTGGATTTTTTGTTGAATTTTTGTTAAAGACGGGAATATGAAAGATTACTGATTAGCCTTCTATTTGCTTTGTGTTGGACGGTCACATTGGAAGTAGCGCACCATCCCGCCTCCTTAAAATTTTAAGTTTACATCAAAATTTATTTATATAAATTTGAAATGTGATTCGTTTTTTGTGTTCTTTTAACGATTACTGAATAAGGTTCCCGAACTTTTACGGAATCCATTACCAAAATTTCTCTTATATTTAAATCTCATTTATTTCACTGTTAATCTAGACCCAAACACAATTCAATCAAATTTAATTATTTCATATATGCAATCAATAATTTTTAAAACTTAATTAATATTTTAATTTCTCATCTCTTTCTATACATAAAAAGGATAATCATTGTTTACGTATTAAATTACTTGGTGATTGTTATTATTGTGTTTCAATGTTTGAAGATCATAATTGGAAAACGAGACCAGATCATGCTGTTTGTAGTGTTGAAACTGGTTTACATATGATTAAAGCAATTAAGGATGTTAGACATAATACACAAGTAAGTAATTCAAATTAAATAATGAATTCACAATAGTATATTTAATTATAATTTAAATAATATATATATATATATATAGGTTAATCTTGAAATGAGAATTGGTATACATAGTGGTTCAGTTATGTGTGGTGTTTTAGGTAATAAAAAATGGCATTTTGATGTATGGTCAAATGATGTTATTATTGCAAATCATATGGAACAAGGTGGTATACCAGGGTAAGTTTGAAAATAAATTAAAAACAAAAAAAAAAATTTTACTAAAAAATACTTGAAATCACTAAAATAATTTATTCAATTTCTAGGCGTGTTCATATATCTGAGGCAACTTTAAAATGTTTAAATGATGCTTATGAAGTTTTACCAGGAAATGGTGGTACACGAGATTCTCATTTACAAAAATTAAATATTAAAACTTATATTATAAAACGAGATGAGCCATTAAGGTAAAAATTTTTATTATTATTTAATTATTTAAGATAATTTTTGTTTTTCTCTTCTATCCAGATTATTCCGTAGATTTGGTAATCGAAGTGAACGTAAATCAAATAATAGAACAACAAAATTAATAAATGGTAATAGTGGTGCCAATGGAAATAATGATGGTAATAATATTTAATAAAAGAAAAAATAATAAAATTTATAATATTAAAATACTCAACATAGCAACAACAATTATGACGACAACACCAGCGACACCTTCAAAAATACCAACAAATATAATACAATCAACAAGACAAGAAACAATTGTTGTCATGAATACTGATAACAATAGTAATAATGATGATAAAAATGTTATTAATGATGAAAGTATTAAAATAGCATCAGTAATAAAAAGTACTGGTGGCAGTAATGATGGTAACATTATACAACCAACCAATACAATTACAAGTACAACTAGTACAATAGGAAATAATAAAAATAATAATTTAAGTGATAATAATGTTATTGGTGTTGTTGGTGGTGGTGCTGAGGATAGTATTGCAACAATACAAGAAGATGAACCGACAACTGAATGGACACCTGAAATACCATTTAAAAATGTAAGAATTAATATTAATATTAATTAAAATATTAAAATTTAAATTATCTGAATTGTGGATTTAACTTGACCATGCAATTGAAAATATTTAAAAAATTTCTTAAATTTACCTTGTAACAAATAAGTGTGTGGTGGATAATTCAAAACTAAAAAACAATTATTCTAATTGCAAAAAAAGTAGCAATATTATGATTGTAGTGAAAAGATTACAGAGCTTAAGGGTGCTTCTGAATAATTTTGTAAATCAACTATGTTATGTTGCAAGATTGTTATGTAATGATTATAAGTTCCTATCATACAAACATATTATATTCAGTTTAAATTTATATTATTACTATTCCACATTAATTTCATATACAATAATAAGATTTGTATAATCTTAATAGCTTAACGAGTCAGAAGACGGCCTCAATCGATCAGATTCATTTATTGTTGGAGGTAATGGTATTGATATGACAAAACAACAACCATATAGTGATTCAATAAGCACGGCTGAAGAGGTGAGTATTTTAAAAAGTAAATGTTTTCAGTTCATTTCATCTCATATCATTTGTAAATCAGTTTAAAATTTTCAATATTCAGAAATTATTCCATTCATTAATTCAAACCTTCACAACTCATTCAAATTTATTAAAAAAAAAATTAAATTTTATTAAAATTACTTTTTAAATATTTATTTTACTGTTACCCAGATTGACGAATTTATTGATCAAAACATTCAAATCAATTCTAATAAAGAAATTCGCCAAGAATATCTAAATAATTGGACATTGAAATTTAAGGATCCTGAACAGGAGCAGAAATTTTGTCAATTACGTGAGGATATGTTTAGGTATTATACTTATTAAATTCACTTATACAATATTATTTTTAAAATTATTTATAAGAAACGCACAGAATTTTTTGAGTTTTCAATTCTAATTTTAAATTTTAATTTTAAGAAGTGAATAATTTGTTACAAAATGACTCTAGGAACACTTCATTAAATTATATATGAAGAAATTTTAATAAAATTTCAAATTAAACCAAACCAATTTTAAATAAGACAATCTTTTCCAAAAAATTAATTATAAAAGAAAATGAAAATTCTAAATAAAGATCTTCTAAAATTTTAATATTAATTATTTAAGGAGTAAAAAGGAACAAGTTACGATTCATTAATTTTATTATTACATTTCTTCTGACTTATTTACAAGAATAAAGAGAACAATAATAATAATTTTAAAGAACAAATAAATCACAATTAAAATAAGTTTGCATGTATGTACATGTTGCTCTTCAATATTGCTTTTGGATTTGACCTCATTTTTAACGCAGAAATAATTTAATTTTAAACTATTTTTGATTTTTTTCCTTACAATTAATTTGAAAGATTTTAAAGCTTAAAAATTTTAGGATTATTGCGTATGTGTGAATTTGTTAGGTCTTGTCACCATATAACTATTTCAAAATAAGTTTTTCAAGAAAAAATTTTCAAAATTTTATAAATTATCTAAGAGAAAAATCGTAAAAAAGCGTATATGAGAGCTGTTCTACGATTTTGTGATGATCCGTTACTTAGAAAGGGTATTGTCATCGGTCATCATAAAATGTCGCGACACAATAAGTGCCGGAATAAAAAAAATGTCTTCTTAAAAATGAACTGGTTGGAGGTGCTCAGCATTTTCGGGCCGAAACGGGTTTTTGTTCTCATCAATGACAAAAAAATATATATAGACATTACCTATCGTGCCAATTTCAGACGGAAAGCCTTGTCCACATGGAAAATGAGGCAAATATATGACCTTAGGAAATCGGATGGGCACATTGCCCGCCTTAGAGTAATCTATACGAAATATTGGCCGTTGGGGAAGCATTTTTGTATTATATTGCAGTTGCCCGGCAATAGACAAGAAAGAGACTGTTTTCCATTATATCTGGCAGTGTGCAACTCTGGGAGTGCAACGCAAAGGAAGTTCGACGGGGCTGTTTGTGATATCTAAGAATAAGCATCGAAAATTTAGATAGACTCCTCAAGAGAACCGAATGACTTAAATAGGTCACCAGTAATCGTATGCTGAATGACGGCCTGGTGACCACGGGGAAGTGTTGGCAAAAAAGGCAAATATGTGCTAATTTGGGAGAGATGGATCTGCTGCACCGATCACGTGAACCAATCTACCTACCAATATATTAAGGATTTTGTAAGGCTATAACTGTTAAAAGGAGTCGTGATTGTAAAAAATTTCTTCTTGTAGGACAGACAGAATGAAATCAATAAGCAAAATTTTTCATAATCAACAAGTTTTCATATAAATATTTCAAAATATTTCCTTATATTTTATATTTATACTTTTAAATCACGCAACTACTACAAACAAAAAAAAATTGGAGAATATTATGTTTTAAAGGACCCTATGATTAAATGTTTAACTTAGTTAATTATTTCTAGATTCTTGATTTTTATAAATTCCATTTATATATAATTTATACATGTACATATGTATGTGTATATTCAATATCATATATGGTTCTATTACTCAATATTTTTATTAAAAAAAATTTTAGAAGTCCTCATTTAATTTTAGTCATTATCCTTGTACGAAAATATATTTAATTTTTAAAATAAATTTAATTATAAAATATATACTTGCAATATATAGGTGATTGAACATTATATATGTGTATGTAGATACGCATACATATATGTATATAGTGTAAAATGTTTATGTACATAGGGCTTTCTATCGTGTAAGATAAATTAAGATTTACCCTCTTTAATGTTACAATTGAATGATTATTTTTTTTGATGAAATGTTTTAAAAATGTTCCATACTTTGAAAAAAAGGTTCTTGTTTTACTAAGTATACATATATACTCATTTTATATAAGTGCTATATATATGTGTAGTATAGTCAAATAATAGAATTCTCTCGAAAGATTTAGGATATTTGTATACATAAAATTTGATAGATTATTTAACAACTTCTCTATAAATTAAATTTTCCCTCACCATTCCGTATTAATTTTAAAAGAAAATTTTTCATTTTCTTTGGAATTTTCAGATCGAACATGCTGTGCATTTTTGTTATATGGATTTTTATTGTATTATGTCAGGCAATTATCATTCAAAAATGTACGTATTTAATAATTTGTTTAGCTGTTGGAACACTTTTATTGATAGCAGGTGGAATTATATTAGTTATGGCTGAAGAATTTTCAAGTAAGTATTTTTCTTTTCAATTTAAAATTTATTAATTTTTTTTTAGGTATTTAAACAAAATTGTGTTCAAATTAAATGATTTAAAGGTTCTTGGCCTTAAATGGTTAGCTAAGTGATACCATTTCCTCCTCCTTTCCCCACTTTCTACAGAAATCATTTGCGTGGCGACATATCGTGCTTACATGTTCGCCAATCAAACAATGATCCGTCAGAACAACTCTTGCCAGAGAGATTTCAGATTATATGTGCAACGGAAGTCTAGCTTTGGAGATAATTCCTTGTCGCATTACACGTTGTTCAATTCGCCAGTTGTGAGCACTTAGAGGCTTGCATACTTGTGAGTACTTAGAGGTTCTCCTTCCCAGGTAGAATACCGAGGGTTGTGCCATGTCTCGCAAACTTGTCCACTTTACTGTTCTCCCGAACCCCATTGTGTAATAGTAACTACTCATAAAATATAACACTATTGCCGTGCAATGCTCTCAACTATAGCAGCCAATATAAAAGCTGTTATTAGGATTATCATGATTACTTATATTTGTACCGGTAGATGGCCGCCTATTTTCATATGTATATAAGAAATAATCGTAAAAACTTTAATGTTTGCATTTAAAGAATACTGTTGGTAATGAAAAATCGAGATATAGTGCACTAATACTCAATTCAGCTGATAAGTTGTAATTGCTGAATTGTGTATTAATATCGTATTTACACAATTTAGAAGTCAGAATTAATATTTATTTCAGTATGATCGAAATTACTCCTAATATCAATATTTCTCTTTTGCCGGGTTAATTTGAGTTATAAATCTTACTTAAATATGAATTAACATAGTTTTTTATAAAATCCCAAATTTCTGTTAACATTCTAATATTATAAATTCAGCACTTTTCTCTTTCTGTAGTTTCACTTTATTAAGTAAATTTTCTTTATGAATTTTTTTTTTTCTTATTTTTAATAAATTATACAAACATTTATCTTTTTAAAACTAATGTAGTATAAAAAGGCTCTTAAAGGAATTTAACTTTATTATCAATATCATATTGTCATCATAATCATTATCATTGTCATCCTGATTCAACTGTTTCCATTTGTATAACAAAGAAATAAAACGAAAAACCTAAAAGTAAATCATATATAGTTTTTTTTTCTCTTAATAAAAATAAAAAACAAAAATAAATCTTTGGCAAACAAAGAGAATATTTCAATTTTTTTTAGCATATCCTTTACAATAAAATTACAATTCTGTCCATGAATAACAAGAAAAAAAAAAGAAATAGTAAAAAAAATCAATGTCCTTTTTTAGAGAATATTTCCTCTATCCTTTTGGCCATTGACCTAGAATAATTTTTAGAAAAGATTCCTTTTTTCTTTGTTTCTTTTCTTCTCTCTTTTGTTGTAGTTCAAAGTTTCTTGGACTAAGCGATGACGCATTGAAATAGCGGAATAAAGGAAGAAATTAATAAAAAATGCATTCTGTAGAATTTTTTTTTATCATTGCACTTGAAAATTTCAACAAAAGAAATTTATTTTTTTCCGTATCAAATTGCAATTGTAATTATTTTATAATTAAAGGATTAGCTTAGAGACCCTTGTATTTCCATATGTAATCGACGAAGATTTTGTAATTGCCAATTTTTTAGCAATTAACGGATCATTCACCTAATTCAGCAGTTGAAGCGTGTATATAACTGAATAAAATACAAATGATCTTAAATTTATATTTTTTGTTAAAAAATGTATGCCTCATTAATTTAAAATTAAAAAACAATGTTTTTGATATCAGAATCACAGTAATAATATATTAATACACAATTCAGCAAATAAGAATTATAAGCTGAATTGTACTCATACAATTTTTGTTCAAATTCCATAATCCCGGTATAAAGAGTATCAAATTAAGAAAACAAAGTTCATTTTAGCTGAAATATTTCCTAAATTATTATTGAAATGATTCCAAAATTATTTTTCTCGAATAATTTTTAAGGCTTCTTAACTTGAGAAGAAGGGCCTAAAAAGGCAAATTTCACTAGGTGTTTTTTGTTCGTTTGCTATCATTCTATTAGTTTGATTCAAGAGTACTGTCGAATCTCGGATATCTTTGTACACATATTCTACTATATTACTATACAATTATGAAAATAACTTATTCAGCAATGTCATTTATATTGCTGAATTAATCAATGTGAAAAAAAAAACCAAATCCGACTAGAATTTATTGAATTTTCTTTGACTTCAAATTTTTACTTAAAATATTTTTTAAAAAAAATTTTGTTCAAGAGATTTTAGACCAAATTTCTACCTTCCTACCAAAATTTTTTAATATTTATTTATACAATTCTAATGAGATGAATTTTTTTTTCGAAATCTTGTTTCTCTTTTCTCTTCTTAAATTTTCTACAAATCAGAAAACAAAGTAAATAAAATTTTCACTATATTTGACCATTTCCAGTCAGCACTTTTAAACTTTAATTTTTTTTTTTATTACATTGAAATACTTGAGGAATTTTTCACTTACTTCACTTGTACATGAACACACACACATAATATAGAAAATTAAAAATAAAACAGATTTTATCCTTAAATCATAAGAGACGTAAAAATTTATAAGAAAAATATTTGCTTTTTATTTTTCCTTTAACAAAAGAAAAAAAAAAAATTTATCCTTGAACAACAATTTCATTATAAAATTTTTATAATAAAAAAAAATCAAAATAATAGCAAAAACAAAAATAAAGGACCTTCTTAAAAATTCAATTTATTCATTCAAATTTTTTCCTTATTAATATTAAACTTCACCTAAAATTCTGTATAAACACAAGTGATTAACAAAAGTGATGAGGAGTGCTGATTAGTGAATATAAAATATTTAAGACCCGTGGTCATTAACAAAGTCATTTTCACTATTTTAATAGGAATTTTACAACATTCAACTATAAAGGATTGGAAAGAACTTAAACTTCATATTCGAACGAAATTGGAAGAAACCTCCTTTATATTACATTCATTCTAAGATTTTTGAGAATATTCCGGGAATGACATAATTCCGGGTGCAGTGTAATCTAATTTTCAATCAACTGAAATTTATAAAAATTTCAAAATAAAAGTATTCATTTATTTTAGTAAAAGACTATAAAAATATTTTAATGAAGAAAAATTTTTCAATAAAACCTTGAAAAAAATATTTTCAAAATATTTATTAGAAAAAAATTACTTATTTAATTATTGAACAACAAAAAACAAAATAATTCATTTTATGTGTTGTTTTCAATATTAAATTATGCTATAAATAAAATTTAATAACCTAAGCAGTTCTAAGATACTTTGCGTCCTGTTACAAATAGTAATGCATCGCAGATAAGGTTTATATATTACCTCCTACTCCAGCGCCTCTCTTCTACTTACTAGATTCATTTATTACAAAATTCCTTCAAGACTAGAATCACTAATGACTTCAGCGAAACAAAGCTACACCACCGTCCTTATTTTTTATCTATTCATACATAGTGATTCTTTCTCTTATATAAGGACTAAACAAAATTTCGCTCTCTTCCAGAAAATATGCTGAATATCGCTCCAATTCTCAAAAAATTAATCAAGTAACGTCAGATAATTATGCTTAATTTTCGGAATCGTTTTATCAATAGCTACAATTGGTTCAACAAAATGTGAGCAGAGACTCTCAGAAATGAAATTATATATATCGCTGAATTAGTCAAATTGATATTAATATATTTATTAAAATCTGTTTATAAATTGATATTGAATGTTGTACAAGATTAGCACATATTGTAAAAATTTACTGCATAATATGCCCTTACTTAAATATAGGTTGAATAATATATTCAACCTATAACTTGCAGAATCTGAATTTATTGATATCATTTGCTATGTTACAAACGAAATCATAAATTAATTTTACTACTCAATAATACTTAATTTTCAATATAAATATTTAAGATGGCTTGTTAATACAATAAGATCAATAAAATAATTTTAATATTAAAATTTTATTTCAGTATTTCCGTCCATATTACAAAAAAGTTCAGCAACATTAGTACATCGTCGAAATCGTCGTACAATATTTATATGTTCTGTTGTAATATTAATGTCAGTTGCAAGTACAGTCGGTTTAGCATTTTGTCCAGTAGAACGTGAAATCGATTTAGAAAATGAACAAATTATAATACCAACAAATACAAATAGTGATAACATAAATAATTTCAATAATAATAATAATAATATACAAAATATAATTACAAATACAAATAATAATAATGAAATAAAATTAAATGTTCATATATCAGCAACAATACATCATAATATAACAATTAATCAATCACCAATACAACAATCATCATCATCATCATCGAATACTGGCACATCTAATTTGAATTCACCAAATACAATTAATTATATTGTTGATACAACAATTTTAGATGATAATTTTACAGCAAATACAAGTCAATTATCAACAAATAATAATTATAACAGTAATAATAATGTTATTGGTAATAGTATAACAAATGATATTGTTGATCCAAATTCAATGGCATTAGCATTAGCTGCTGTTGCGATACCAGAAAATGTAGAAATTGTTAAAAAAACAATTGTTGATGTATTAAAAAGAAATCATTCAAATAGTAACAGTATATTATTAAAATCATCATCGTTGCTGGCATCTCAATCATCGTCATCGTCGTCGTCATCATCATCGTCATCGTTAACATTAGAATCATTAAAAGAACCGGGATCATCACATTCTTTAATTTATGTGCCAAATAGTAATACAAATACTAATATTAATAATAATAATAATAATATTAATAATTTAGAAAAATCATCAACTGATAATAATAATAATAATAATTATATTAATGGTTATAATAATAAAATATATACAAATAATAATAATAATAAATTTATAAATATTTATTATGATGAAAATAATACAAATTATTATTTTGATGATATAAATAGTAATATATATAATAATAATAATACAAATCAAGATAAATTAAAATGTTTTCGTCCAGAATATGTTGTATTTACATGGATTTTATGTTTAATTGCATTAGCAACAGCATTAAAATTATATTATTTAGTTAAAACATTTATGGCTGTTATAATGGTTGCAACATATGCAATATTAATATCAGTTGTATTTAAACAAATGTTTGATCAACCAATAATACAAAAAATTCATGGTAATAGTAATAATAATAATACAACAATTGATGGTAGTATTACAATGCCAATGGCAACACAAATGTTAATGTTATTACTTGTATTTTTTACAATGGTAGCATATCATGCAAGATTAGTTGAGGTAAATATATAAATGAATATATTAATTATAATTAATCATGACTTTCAAAATTGCAATAATACAATATTAATATACAATTCAGCAAATAAAAGTCATAAGCTGAATTGCATATTAATACAATATTAGTGAAATTTTGAAATAAGAGACTTTTATAATTGTATTACATGTATGTATGTATGTATCTTTAACGTGACCCCTAACGCTATGCAATTTTTTTTTAAATTAAATTTTTAATTATATATTTAGGTAACATCACGTTTAGATTTTATATGGAAGGAACAAGCAGAAAAAGAATTATGTAATATGAAATCAAATCGTAATCTTAATGATTTATTAATAAAGGTAAAATATAAAATTTAATTAAAATATTATGTTACAGGTGCGGTGCGGTGTAGCGCCTAAAACAAATACCATAAATATTTAAAAAATTTTTGTTAAATTTATTTTTTTTTTTTTTTTGTTTTTAGAATATTCTTCCGGATCATGTAGCAACATATTATTTATCACATGAAATGAATGATGAACTTTATTCAAAAGATCATTTATTATGTGGTGTTATGTTTGCATCAATACCAAATTTTCAAGATTTTTATAATGAAGATATTGAAAATGGTAAAGCATGTATAAGAATATTAAATGAAATAATATGTAAGTATGCTTATTTTCAATATTTATACTATAATCCCGAATTTTAAAAAAATTAAAATAATAAATATAGTGTTTATATACAATTCAGCTTATACAAAATCTATTTGCTGAATTGTAGAATAACTCAATTATTTTTGAATTAAACGCAATTTTTGATGTTATTAAATCATAAATTAACATTTTAATATAACAATTTATATAACAAATTTGCATTTAATAGGTGATTTTGATGCATTATTAGATGAAACACGTTTCACATCAATTGAAAAAATTAAAACAGTTGGTGCAAGTTATATGGCAGCATCAGGATTAGATTGTAAAGAATTGGTAAGAAGAGAAATTGAAAATCAAACTCTAAGAATAATTTAATTTATTCAGCAATTTAAAAAATTGTATTCAGCTATTGCTGAATAAATCAAATTAATAATAAAAATCACATGAATTTTTTTATTCTGACATTGACTATACTTTATTACTATCACTATTCAACTTATATGTGTTCGCTGAATTGCTGAATTGTATAATAATGCAGTATTATAGTAAATTTAATATTTAAAAAGTAACTCTCAATTATATAATCTATATTATGATATAAGAGTTGTATACGACTGCTTTTGCACGTTCTTTTTAAAAATGCCCAGATATGAAAAACAGAATTATGGAAGAACATATCAATTTTAAAATTAATTTTATAAAATGGCTTATTATTTTATAAAATCAATACTTTTGTAAAATGCTCTGTCGATAGTTCAAAAGAATGTTCAAAACCAATCGAATACAACTTTTTAAAAATTCACATTAGAAAAATATAATAGATAATATTGTTTGTCAGCAAGACTATAAGCGACCCCTAGTCTATATTATAAAATAATAAAATTAGTTTTGACCGCAAATACTTAAACCACTTTAATTTAATTGTTATATAAACTAAATGTTATTGTTTTTGCATTCATTTATTTAATTAATAAAAATAATTACCAACACGTACACAATTAATTTAAATATTTAATTGAAATAATGCAATTTTATTTTTTTTTTATTCTATAAAATCTATGTAATTCTATTTATAAATGTATATTTCTATATAAAAATATAGGCAAATCGAGGACAAACTTGTGAAGATTCTGTTTGTACATTAGTTGATTTTGCATTGGCAATGAAACAAAAATTACAAGAAGTTAACAAGGATGCATTTAATACATTTCAATTGAGAGTTGGTAAGTTTTGTTTTTACTTTTATTTTCAAATAAAATAGAAATTTTGAAATAAAAATAGAAATGCAATTATATATGTGTTTAACTATAAAAATAATTTGTTTAAAAACTTTCTGATATTTTTATCGTGAATTCTCAGTATTCCTACTATAATTTTTTTAATATATTTTTTAAAACTATGAAGCAGGATAAAGTTGAAATGAATTCATTTAAATATAAACATTTTTTTTTTTTTGTTAGAAATTTTATCCTTAGGGGAGAAAATTAGTTTTATGATTTTTATATTGTTAAAATACAAAAACACAAAAAGAGCAAAGATTTTCTTTAACATTTTCATTCAATAGTTTTTGGTTTTTAAATTCCCTATTCAGTATTTTGGAATTTTTCTATATTTTTCTATATAAAAATATCAAAAAAAAAATGCTAAAGTTAATTATACTCTTGTGAAAATTGTGTGTTTTTTTTTTTAATATTTTTATTATATTTGTAAAAAAAAAAATAATTATGAAAGTTTTTCAAAACTTTAAATGACTGCTTTCTATTTAAAAAATTCACTAAATTTTTGCTATGAACGTAGAAAATTATTATTTAAAATTTAAATTTTTTAATCAATATTTACATACATATACGTACAAATGCCATGTATAACTAAAATATTTTCGGCACATTCAAATAGGTTTATTCACTTGAATACGAAAAATTAAAGCAGCTACCTATAACAATTATTTCAGATTTGAATTCTGAAAGAAGAGAAATGAGTAAATAATTGGCTCTCTTTTTCTTACAATTTTGAAAATTTACAAAAATTTTTTGACATTCCCGTTATTCCTTCTGATATTTGCTACTATTTTCGAATTTAAACTATTCTAGGGCCTTAATATTGTACGTAATTCGATTTTCGTAAAACTATTTTTATATTTGTAGAAATAAAAAATACAAATTAATTCCTACCTTACTATTTTTACGGATACGAAAATCGAATAACATATATAGTAAGGCCCCTGATCTTAATATCATTTAGTATTTTCGAATCTGCTGATCTAAATTAGATTAAAGATTCTTATTCTGATTTAAGATTCAAATCATTGTTGTTAGCAAATCAGTTATTCGTGTTGTAAATTGTATGTTCTCAAGAGGATCCATTTTTTTTTTTATAAAATTATAAGAAATAATCACATCTTTTATTAAATTATTACCTATTTAATTATATTTAATTGAAAATAATTTATAATTAATATTCAAATTAAAGGTATTAGTAGTGGACCATTAGTAAGTGGTGTTATTGGTGCTAGAAAACCAGTATATGATATATGGGGTACAACAGTAAATGTTGCATCTAGAATGGATTCAACTGGTGAAAATTGGAGAATACAAGTACCATCATATACAGCAACATTATTACAATCAAAAGGATATACATGTGTCGTAAGTTTAATTTCATATTTTAAAAAACTAGAAAAAATGCGGGAACTAGAAAAAAATATACTAATATTAATAAATTAAATTTTTTTTTTTTTTAAATTGTAGGAACGTGGTGAACGTGAAGTAAAAGGTTTAGGTCATATGAAAACATGTTTTGTTCTTGGTAAAGGAATATCATCTAGTCAAGTAACATCACCAATAATAATGCCAGCTGGTATACCATTAGCACAAACACCATCATTACAACGTCAAACATCACAACATGGTAGTTTTAGTGCTGTTGTATTTGGTATGATGCAAGCATCAAAACGTAGTAGTAATTTACAACCAACACGTAAGTTTTATAATTAAAATAAAATTAAAAATATTAATAATATACAATAATTTTTTTAGATAATATTTATATTATATATTTTTAATAGCAACAAAATATATTCATGATTTAAAAAAAAAAAAAATTATTTTATAATTGTAGCAACCGGTACACCATCTCCACAAATAAGACGTGGACGTCGTGGTAGTACATTCAGTTCTGTAAGAATATCATCAAAAGATACAAAAATAGTTACAAATCCAGTTAGAAGAAATACAACAAGAGTAAGAGGATATCATCAAAAAAAGGTATTATAACCACCATTTATTATAATTTAACATTATTGTAAATATCCCAATTCATGCCTAATAATATTATAGAAAATGAAAATTTTTGCTTATATATTTATAAATTTACAATTTATTTTATTAATTAATTTTTGATTTTTCATTTTTTAGAGTTCTTCCAATAATTCAATAATAGTCGGTAATCAACAAAACAATTATATTCCAAGTTTTAGAAAATTTGAACAAAAAGAAAATAATCAAAATTCAGCTCTTTAATAAAATTTTAATAATAATAATAAAAAAAAAAATTTAAATTACTTATATTATAAAAAAAAAAAAAAATTAATTGTATTGTAATTTACCATTAAATCAGGCTATTTTAATATAATAATTATTAAATAAAAATAATATTGTATTTTTATGTAAAGTATTATAAAAGTAAAAAAAACAATATGTATTAAAATCAAATATTAAAAAAGAATATGCAGGGTGTCTCCAATTAATTAATATTAAAAAATTATTAAAAAAAAAAGTATATACAAATTAAATAGAATTTTACTACGAAACTATTAAAGTCTATGTATATTAAAAAAAATTCCTAAATATTAAGATTTACAAAAAAAAATTTCTCTTTCTTCTATTAAAACCTGATCACCTAAATCATTTAGAAGCCATGTAAAGCTTTGAATTTTGAGTACATACAACGTGTTCATTTATTATTTAAAATATAAATTTCTTTTTCTAATTAATAAACTATAAAAATAATATAATCGGTTCGTGTTGTGTAAATTTTTTATTAAATTTTAAAATCAAACCATTAAAAAACTTTAAATTATAAACGTACAATTTAAAACTCTTTGAAAATTAAGTGAAATTCAGATAAATAATTGAGATTTTAAAACTTCCCTTATTTAGTGATGAAAATGTAATAAATTCAATTTTTAAACAATATTGCAAAATATTTTTAATTACAAAAATTAAATTACTTGAATTTGGAGCATGAAACACTTTGCATATAAAGCACAAAAAATATAATCAAATCTTTTTGAAAAATTTCAAAATATTTTTGAATATTTTCTAAATTTAGAAAAATTATATTTTAACAAAATTAGTAGATACTTATGTAATAATAAAAATAAATGTTAAATTTAAGAATTCGTACATTTAATAATGAAAAGGTGAAGAAAACAGTTTTACAGCAACATTCAATCTAATTGAGAGAGCTAATGTACAATAGAGCTTTAAATAGTGTTATATAAGTAATAGATAAAAATTAAAATATAAGATTTTACTTTTATTACAAAAAGAAATCATTAAATTAATAAAAAAAATTTAATTAATGTTTTATTAAATATGTAAATTAACTAAAAAAAAAAAAAATTAATATAAAAAAATTTAGATTAATTTATTTTCAAGAAAACACAAAAATAAAATATATCAAAAATAAAATTTCATAAATAAAAATATAAAAAATTTGTTTAAATTTTGATTAAATATCTTGTCCCTATAAAACGTTCGTATTAAAAATAGTGACCATATTATTGGAATTGTTAAATTTCAAATTAATTATGACTTGAATTAATTTATTAAAATATTAATATTAAATAAAAATCAAAAAAAAAAAACTATTTTTAACGTAAATACAAAAATTTTATTCAGGCTTCCATTACAAAAACAGAAAACTAAAAGGTACATGATATTTATATTTTGAAAATATACAATTAATCAACAGCTTAAAAAAATTCAAGTATCAAATTATGAAATCTGTAATATTAGAGAATTTACAATATTTCTAATTGATACAATATTTTTATAATCACTATGTGATAATAAACCATTTTTTGAATTATTTAAAGCTATTGTAATTTTTTTTTTGATATCATCATTCCAATTATGTTTATTTAAAATTTCATTTAAATGTTTTATAGATTCTTTTGACCAAAATGGACTTGGCATTTTTGCACTTAATAATGGTTTCTTTTCAATCTGAGAATTTTTTTGATTATTTATTTCATCCAATAATTGTCCAATTTTATTTAAATTTGCAAAATATAAATTATTTTGAACAGATTTTTCTATTGTATTATTATCATTTTTATTACTATTATTATTATTACTGTTAGTGTTATTATTATTATTATTATTATTTATTTGATTTTGATTTAAAAATGTTGAAAAACTATTTGAATTTGAATCAGTTATATTTAAAAATAATTTTGGTATTTTAACATTTAAAAGTTGATCAAATCCAGTAAGATTTTCTTTTCTTTTTAATTGATTTTGAGATTTTTCTAATTCCATTTTATTAAGATTATCAGATTTATTTTCATTTATTGTATTTGTAATTGATTTTATTGTAAGAGATGAATTACCCTGTTTTATTCTATCACGAATTTTTAATAATGGTAGGGCATTATGACGTTTCATTGCATAATAAGCATCAATTAATTCATTATAATTTGGATGTTCTATTGGAGAGAATATATATTTCCATGATTTATCAATTTCATCCCTTATTTGAGATGTTACAATACTTAATATATTTTGATTTTGATTTGAATTTTCTTTTCTTAGTTGTATTAAATGTTTCATTAATATTTCTAAATTAATTTTACCATCACGTAAACCAGCTTGACCAAGTAATATCATATTTAATTTTGTACGAATTTTTTGAGCTTGTCTTAAACCATTTTTTGATTGTTGATGCTCATATAATTGCAATTGTTTATGTAAATCAAAAACATTTCCAATTTTACTATCTAAACGCTCTAAATCATCCTGCAAAAATTTTATCAATACTGAACGTTTCTTTGGTACACGTAAACTTTGTTCTAATAAATCATTTTTAATTTTCTTAGGTAACGAACGTAATTCTAGCATAAGTTTTATATGGAATTGATTTTGATTTTCTTTTAAACCTTCAAGTACAAGTACATTACCAACCGATGTCCAATCAATACTAGCTTTAATATTATATTTATTGGAATTTTCTATTAAAAATTTATTTCCATTTGGAGAAAGCAAATAATCACTGAAATTTTTAGGTAAAAATATTTTTCCGAAACATGGTGCTTCTGGAAATGTACTTTCATCAACATCACTTTCAGAAATATTTCTAAATTTGTGCGATATCCCGATTCCAGTTGTGATATCTTCTTCATCATCTTTCTCTTCTGTAGAATCCTCTTAATTATGAGAAAATGCGTTTGATGAATGTAAAAATAAAATTATTTTTTAAAATACTGTATATGAATCATTTAAATTTTTAGAAGCATTAAGGTTACCTTCATTATTTTGAACAAATTCAATGAAATTTTCATTTTCATTAGGTTCTTTTTCCAAATTGTCGTCATTTTTTTCCTTTTCTTCAGTTTGAACATTATCAATTACTTCTTTGTCAGAACTGCTTAAAGGTATGAAATCTAATAAATCACCCATTGGACGAGATATCCTTTGAGGTTTACTTAAATCTAAATTTTATACATTAAGTAATTATATTATAAATTATATATTTAATTTACAACTAACCTAATTCTTTTGTCTTTTCCTTGAAATTAAATGTTGCTTCAGTTGACTTTGATTTAGCAGGTGTTGATTTAGGAACATCAAAATGGTCCGAAAAACTATAATTCGAATCCGAATCACATACAAAATCTTTAGAAACTGAACTTATTGCATCTTTTTCTTCTGACTCATTATCCTTTTCTGATATTTTACTTTTTTCCTCATTTGAAGCAAGGCTCTTTTCTGTTGCTATTGGTGATTTAAACTCATGCTCAACTGTTTTTTTCTTAGGTTCATTTGATATTTCACTAATATTAAGCAATTTTTTCTCATTTTTTTTTTTTAAATCCAAATTATAAACTAAATGTTCCAACTTAACAGCTTTTAAAAATCTTCCATAATATTGGTTTAATTTAAATTTTTTATTAAAAGAGAAAGTAAAGCGTAAATTGCTATTTGGTTGATGTAGTAAGTTATATGTTATCGTACTTTTGGATAGTAAAGAAGGATTTGGTTGACTCTGTATAGGTTTGACATAAGACTTTATTTGAGTTGATATTGGAGAATATTCTAAATAAATTTTTGCAAATCTACATGTCTCTGCAAAATGACCACGGCCTGCGCACACAGAACAATATTTTATGTTGCTGTATTTTACATTACTATTGAGATCAGAGTTCGGATTAACCTAAAATAAAAATTTGATATTGATATTTAAATAAATAAAAAAAGATTTATAAAGTGCGCATACTGTTGAATGATATCTTCTCCATTTATCTGGACACAAGGTAACATTATGACCACTTAACTTACAAATAAAACAAGTTTGCTTGTTTTGTGAAATACACTTAACACATTGCCTTGTGTAACTTGAGGTTTTTGATCCACACTATAAAATATATTTGTTTTGAAATCAAATTTATTTTTCAAAATATTTCAATATTTTACCTTTAAGCAAATTGTATTTGGGCATCGTGGTTCACGATGTCCATGCTCGCCGCACATATAGCAGACAATAGGTTTTCTCGGTCTCGTGCATCTTGCTGAAATGTGACCAAATTCACAACAATTGAAACACTTCATTCTCGATGATTTAGTAAATTTTGGGAAACGATCGCTTGAATTTATATTCCAATTAGCTTTTCCTTAAAAAAATATAAGAAATTATACAATAATGTTCCAGCAACTTTAATAAGAATATTACGGTCTAATGTCTGTTTCATCTTTTTAACAGAAAAATTTTCACCACCCCACGACATATTATAAAAACGATACATTTCTTCACACCATCCTATGTTGTCAGTTGTATGTGAATCAACTCTATAATAAACAATGCCATTAACTTCAGTTGAGTTTTCTTCAAAATTCATTTCATTATTCTCCACTTCTTTATCTTGGTCGTTATCTTCAATATCACTTTGTGTTATATCAAGAGAAACCATTTCTGGTGTTAACTCCCTAGAAATTTTAGAGCTAAAAGTAAGATTATCGATTTCCTCAAAAGCTGCTTTTAATATTTGCTCATTTTTAGCGGGTTCTCTGCTCATATCTTCAATTTCTGTTTGAGCTTCGAGGGAATCCTTGTCAGAAATTACATTTGTTTCAGATGACTCTTTAATATTTGTAGACCGTGATTCATGTTTAGTTTTTTCAAATTTGTTTTGCTGTGATTTTTTTATGACATCTTCAGCAATTTTTCTTGCGGTCACACATTCCCTTGCATCATCTGATACGTCGCTTTCGTTACGAATATTCTCCATATTCCTTGCAGAGTCAGGAATTTTTTCTTCTTTATTTTTGTGTACAATTTTACTTAGCTTCGAAATAAATTCATTGTCCGAAGAATTAACGTCAATTGCAATATTCAAATTAGGTTCAGACGCCCTCCGCCTTTTTTTCGTACTCTCTACGGCTTCTCCTAAAAATTAAAATACAAGTTAAAGCAATATTCATATAACAAAAAGTTTTATGTATTTCTTTAATATGAGTTTAAGTTACTAACCTTTACTTATATACGGAAGGCCTGTACTTGTTTTATTTATTTCATTTTCACTTTCAGACTCAGTATCTTTTTTATCTGATTCTTTGTTAGAAGAAACCCTCCTTTTCCGCAATCTTTTCACTTTTTGTATTATATTTTCTTGACAAGAATCAGACAAAGAAGATGATGATGATGATGTTGATAGGCATAACGCAGACGTCTCCCCTTTATTATTCAGTTGTCTTTTGCTTGATAGTGATCCTTTCGAATACACACTTAAATCAGATTCACTTTCATCATAAACATCAAGAGCTCTGAAGTCGTTTTCCTTAACCAAATAATCATTCTTTTTCTTTTTTTTCTTACATACTTGCTGTTGATTTTTTGGTCCTGCATCCAAAGGAGGTGGCATGTTGCAAGCTTTGAAATTTGATAACTCATCTTCTATTATTGTAGTTGATTTGTTCTGTCTTGAAACGAATGAATCTACAGTTTCGGCTAAAGTTAAATCATCATCATTAACAACTGAAGTTTTCAGTAACTTCGATTTTTCTCCTTGAGAAATGAAATCATCAGTCGAAAAGACCGAGCATGGGCTTGTACATCGAGAAGATTCATTACTTCTAACTATCGATGCTGGAGCAGAACTACTCTTTTTATTTTTAGGTTTTGTAAATGTAGTGGAACTTAAATTACCAATAGTGTCTTTTTCGATGGATGAGTTCCCTTTTAAATCTTCTGTATTATCAACATTGTTACTTTCGTTATCAGATTCATCTATTGCAATCAATGGTGGTGGTGAAACAGGAATACATATAACATCGTCATTATCATCATCAACATCACTATCGTCTAACAAAACAACCTCAATTCCTTTTTCTTCATTTTTGATTTTATCGCGAACACTTTTGGATTTCGCCTTTTTTTCTCTTATTCTTCTAATAGAATCCAACTTTTTCTGTTTTGTCTGATTTGCCATGGTGATTTTTGTTTTGCTAGCAATATTTTTATAAGACTGGATTAACTGTGCATTTTGATGTAGTTTTCTTCGTTGTTTATTGTCTAATTTTTTGTGATTTTTATATTTTACATGTATCCCTGTAGATAAATTCTCGTTATGATCACTAACGACACTTTCCTGGCATTTATTAGCTTGAGAAGTATTAATACAATCATTTGTCATTGGTGGATTAAAAATTATTGGTTCATAGGGCTTTAAAAAAGACGATGAAATCTCTTTTGTTGTAGTCTCTTGTTCCTTTGTGGAAGACTTTTGTTGCTTAACGTCTGCACTTAAAATAGGTTTTGGTTTCCTTAAATTTTTAAACATGTTTATCATAGGTTTCTTGTCACGAATTTTATTTTCGGAACGAACCCAATATCTTTTTTTTTGAAAGGCTAAAACCTTTTGATTCGGGGTGGCAGATGTAATATCATTTAAGACTACTGATTCCTTTTCCAATGTATGATCGACATGGTCATGAAAAACTTGCGAATAAAGTCTTGATTCAATTTCTTGTAGATCTTCCGGATTATCAGATTCAATATCCTAAAATGATTACTTTTTATATTGTTTATATTTTTTAAAGTAAGAGCACATACCATTATAAATTGTTTAATAGCAAAACTATCATATTATGTACTATTCTTTTATACATTAAATGAAGTTCTCTAAAAACTAAAAGTGCAAAAATATTCAAGTAATTTTAAATCTAAAATCAACAAATTAAAAAACATGGATGAGGAACTAAATGACAGTACTATTGACAATTGAATACTCACGTTTTTTTGATTGACTGTTTTTGAGTGTTACCGTTTCAATTAAAAAAAATGTCTACAAATTTATAAGGTCTCTTGCGGAATCAAAAATTAAAAAATTTTCCGATCGTTTATGATACCATAAGCATACTTAAAAACTATAAGAATAGCAAAAACGATCAAAAACTTTTTATTTAAGCAAAATAACAGAACAAAAGCGATTTTTCGCTTCGAATACATGTTTAATATTTAATACAAATGTATAAATAGGATTATGGCTGCCGGTTTTTTTTCGTCATCATTTGTGTGGTTACATTATATGGAAAATACTGAATAGATGATTTTGTCTTTCCGCTATTGTTTGGTTTTAAGAAGTGAAATCGTTCGTTCCGATCAAAATAGTAGAATGAAATCAAAAAGTTTTGATATTACTGATACTCTGAACGTAGTATAAATCCAATTTTATGTCAGCTGTTTATTTTTATCGTTTCGATAAACTATTTATCTGTCAAATGGCAATTAAACTAAAAAAGTTTTTTAATGTGAGTTGAGTTGTGTTATGACTTTAGAACGTGAAGGTAATTAGACTAAACTAGGAAGTAAAAAGTGAAACAAACTTATTAATAGAGAGAAATCTTTTTTTTTTTTTTGTAAAAATCAAAATTAATCCTTAAATAAGACAATGATATAATAAATACTCCTTTTAAATCCAAAGTGGTAAATATCTTTTTATCCTATTATTTCAATTTTTCATTTGTTGAATACAAAAATTAAATTATCCTGGTGATATAAATTTACGATTGATGTGAATACGTTGTACATATTATAGTTATCTAACTAATGAAATTGAAGGCTGTTTATTAGAATTTTCTTAAGTAAAAACATAAACTTATTAGGTAAACATATCCTTAATTTTTAATGTTTTTTTTATGAAATAATCAATTTTCTATTGATTTGTAGATAAAGATGCGTTAAAATTTTAAAAGACTTCCCAATTAATAAAAATAAAATGTAAAATAGATAAAATTTATAAATAAGAAAATAAAGAGTAAAACGAAGAAAAGGAGAAAATAAATTTTTTTGAAAATTTAGTTTAACAAAAAAACATATTAAATATGCTGCAACAACTTAAAATCGATATGATGTGGAATAATTTAAAATATTCCGGTAAAAGATATTATCATCGAGCTATGAGAATTGAACTAAAACAAATTGCATGGAAAAATCCAAGAGCAATGCCAGGATGTCAATATAGTCCAACAAGAATTGAACATTTTTTAAATATTTTTACACATGGTATTTGGATATTACCAGCATTATTTGGTACTGTTGAATTAGTTTCACGTAGTTATTCAAGAACCCAATTAATTGCCGCATGGATATATGGTTTAGCGCTTATATTTTTATTTGTAATATCAACAATATTTCATAGTGTATCATATGTTAATTGCTGTAAGGGACATCGTCGAAATCGACAAATAAAAGATGTTTTTCATAGATGTGATCGTGCTATGATTTATGTATTTATAGCTGGATCATATTTTCCATGGTTACATTTAGTACATTTTGCACCATATTCTTTAGTATTTGAATCATTACAATGGATAATATGGGTATTAGCAGCGCTTGGTATTACTTATCAACAAATATTTCATGAAAGATTTAAATGTTTAGAAACATTTTTATATATTGTAATGGGATTGGGACCTTCATTAGTTGTATTAGCTAGTGGACATGAATTTCCTGGTATGGTAGAATTAAAATGGGGCGGTTGTATTTATATTATTGGAGTTTGTTTTTTTAAATCAGATGGTATTATTCCTTTAGCTCACGCAATTTGGCATTTATTTGTAGCATTAGCCGCCTCTGTACATTATTTTGCTATATTAAAATATTTATTTCCCATGGAATTGTAAACAAAGACAAATTAATATTTAATTAATGTAATGAAGTTTTTGGCAAAAAAAAAAAAAAAAAGAACAAAAAAAAAAAACAACCTAATTTTTATTTAAAAATCTATAAGATTTTGCTATTATGATAAAATTATGAATAGTGCTAAAAAAAAAAAAAAAACGACAGAGTATTGTTTAAATTGAATGTTTAAATTTTAATTTTAAAGGCATTCAAATCATATTTAAACCATTTAAGAAGAAAAGTGTGAAATTATAATTATATAAAAAATAAATGTAATATTTATTCTCATATATAATATATATGTATATATATATATATATTTTTTTTTTTGCTACCAAAGATATACTTCATTGCCATTTTAATTGTTAGTTTAATTATATAAGCATATCAAAACTGAAAATTAGGAAAACAAAACAGAAACAATTTCAATTTAAGTATATATTTTTATTTTTTAAATTAATTTTGAATATTATCCATAGTCACATTATAATAATTAGTCTTCTGATATGCAAAATTTTCATTACAATATCAATTAAAAAACAATATAAGTTTAAAGTCGAAAGCAATAAATTTTTTGTTATTTTTAGCTCATAGTTTTTCATATATAACATACATGTAATGTAGATATATGTATACATATTACAATTTTTTACCGTAGTTGCCAAGACCGGAAAAAAATTTTCAAAAAATTTTCCGATAATATTATTTATTTTTTTTGTAAATTTTTATTTTTTTAAGATATTTCCTAATTAGTCTTCAAATCATTATAAGACTTCCATTACGTATATATGTATGTACAATAATATTACAAAAAATATATTATAAATTTAATTAAAATATTAATTATGTAAACAAATAGTAATTTGAAAAAAGGAGGAAGAAAGATATTATATAAAAAAGAAATTTAAAACAGTATTACATTATTAATTAAATTTTAGAAAATACAAAAAAAAAAAAAAACGTGGATAAATGAAAAAGATTGTAAAAAAAAAATTCAAAGAAATTCCAATTTCTTTTGTCATTAAATGGAAAAGTTAAAAAACAAAACAATCCTAATTAAAATTCATAAAATATAAAAAAATTTGTAAAATGCACTTTTTTTCTATAACAACCTATACAAAAATATCTTTTTATCTTTTAATTTAAACTAGAACTTAATCTAAAAATATCAAATTTATTACTCTATTATTATACAACTTCTGAAATTAATGATTTTAAACATGTACATGAATTAAATACAAATTAAATATAATTAACAAATTACAAAAATTAATTTCATTTCAAAACGTTTTCCATTATATTTAAATTTAATTAACTTTGCTTTCTTTTTTAAAAACAAATTTATTTTAAGTACATTATGTAAAAAATTAACACATTATAATTATGTAGAATTATTATATGGTATTAAATATTCATTGCATAAATATTAAAATATTTAATTGTATTTAAATACAAAAATATAGTAAAAAGAAATTTAATTAACAAAAAAAAAGATTTGAAAAAAAATTTTAATCTCATTATTTTTGTAGTCCAGTGTAATAATTGAGCAATTTATTGAAAAACAAAAAAAAAAAAAAAACTAACAAATAGAATTTTGAATTAATAAGTGCACATTTTATAAAAAAAAAAAATGCAATTAAAATAACAACAATTAAACACTATTCAAAATGCTACCCTCCGATATTATATAATATATATACTAATATTATATAAAATTAATTAAATAAAATCTGTCCAATATTACTAATATTCTAACTTTTCTTCTTTATTATCTCTATTTTGCAAAATTTATATAAGCTCTCGTTTCATCTTAAATTTTTTACACAATATTAAATTTAATTTAAACTATAATATATAGTTATAACATTATCATTTTATAATATTAAATCACATTAAAAAAAAAAAAAAAAAACTAAAAAAATAAAAAAAAAAAAGGTGTAAACTAAAAAACTTTGTATAAAACTTATCAATAAATTAATGTTTTTTGTCCATTATTATTAATATTAAAATAAAATTTTCTTTAAAATTTCAACCTTAACTTTAATTCTACATATTTAAATAATAAAATACACTTTTTCAACTTTTGTCAAAAAAAAAAAAATAATTTTAAAAAGCCAAAATCAAATTTATTTAATAAATTATTTTTTTTATTTAAAAATAAGGGTGCAGAAAGCACTAGTAACCACTAGCTTAATTGTTTATTTTCACTTAAATGACTAATTGTTTAAGATACTTAAATTTAAAAAATATAATTCTATTGAAAGTTATTAATATTAATTCTTTATAAAAAAAAAAAAAAGATATTAATTCAAAAACAAGGATTAATTGTTCATATATTGTAGCTATTATTTGTGATTTCATTAAATTTCAAGTAAATGAGTCTTATGATGCTAGAACTGAACCTATGCTAGCAATTTTAACAAATTGTATAGAAATTGAAGCTGCATTATTTTTTTCTTTTTCTTTTGCTAGCAAAATTATGTTAAAGCATAGGAAATTAGAGTATATAAATATTTTTTTAGATTTAGTTAAAGTCAATAGACGCATTGAACTTTTTTGAATCAGTAATAAAAACAATTAGTTTTTAATCTGAAATTTCTTAAATTTTGTTGTTAAAAAATACTGAAACAAAAATATATTTGCTGTTAAGGTATCGGAATCAAAATTTTCATTTAATTTTTTTTTTAAGTTTTCCAATTGTTAAAAAAATTGTAAACTGTTCGGATATTAGTGCTTGCCTCTTCTGCCTTATAAATGAAAGAAAATTTTTATAAATATTTTTGTTCACAATTTCAATTTTTTTTTTTTTTTTTTTGTTTATTTTAAGTATTTCATCTAATTTTATTTAATACATTTCGCATACAATACATTCTATATTAGTTTTTAACAAATAAATATATACAATTGTATTAATATTAGCTACGTTTTTTTTATTACAATTAAAAATTATAATTAATTATTTTTTTAGATAAGGGTTTTTTATTTTAATTTAAATTATTTGCAAGAATAAAGAAAATTATGAGAAAATTTATATATTTAAATTTTCATAAAATTATTTTTATAAAATTAAAAAATTTGTGATAACAAAATTAAAAGCATGTTAGAGTTCATTATAACCATTTTCACAGATTTGGTTTTTTATTATTTTAAAAAAGTTGAAAAAGTATTAAAAAATATGTTAATTTTAAGGTAAGGGTTTAGAATTTATTAGTTTTAAATTAAGTAAAATTATAACGAAAATCTAATTTAAATTGTATAAAATGTAAATTTTCATAATTTATATTATATTATTTTTTTTCGTTTTTCATTTTATTTCGGTACCTGATCATTTAATTTTAAAGAAAATAATAAAACTGAATGTAAAATATTATTTTTTTTTATACTTATACGTTATTACAAACATTGTATACACATAAAAAGAAATAAAAAATATTTTGATATTTTTAATTATTTTTGTGCGTTTAAAATTTAATTTTAAGTTCGATAAACAAAAAAAAATAAAATAAAATTTACTCAAATTATGTTTTCCTATTAAATTATAAATTTGTAAACTAATAAATAAATATAAAAACAAATAAAAAACAAATACCATGAGCAAATTAGATTATTTTTATTAAAAAAAAAATATTTAATTAAATAAAAATATTAAAAATTTATTTTTTTTAAAAATATTATTATTATTTTTATAAAATTTATTCTAATAAATTAAATAAAATAAATTTGGGAAAAAAAAATTGTATAAAAAATAATATGAAATTATAATTTATATTTATAATTTCATTTATCTAGTTAATTATGTAAGTTTAAATTTTCAATTGAGTTTAAAACTCTCCCATGAAATTGTAGTAAAAACAAAAAAATTACAAAAAAAAATTTAGTAAAAATTATAAATGTTATACAAAATTAAAAAAAAAAAAACAAAAAAAAATACAAAAGAATTGTAAAGCTATACAATTAAAAAAAAAAATAGCTAAAGTTCTGTAGAAAACAAAAAAAGAAAAGGATAAAATATTTCTATAAAAAAACTAATAAAAAATTTTATTTTATTTATAAAAAAAACATCAAATCACAAATAAGTAATGAGCTTGCCTTTCAAGAGCCTTCGTATTATTAAAAGTATGACAATTTTTGAAAATTTAATTCTTACTTCAATCCTAATATAAAAAGCATGTTCAATAGTCCAAAAAAAAACTAAAAAATTTTCCAGTCTAGCATTTATCGGATAAATCTTTTGTAAAAAAAAAGACAAGCTTGTATCGAGAAAATCGTAGAACTGCTTAAAGTTCTAAGATTTTAAATGCTGCAAAAATATTTGAAATTTGCGAAAAAAATCACATGGAAAAACTTAAAACGTATTAAAAATCTGAAAAAAAATGAACAAATTTTGTAGCTCTTGCAAATTTGTAATTTTGCAAAATAATATATTTTTAAAATTTAATTTAGAGCTTTTATCAGTTCATAGCTGAACTATTAAGAATCCCCAAAAATTTTGAAATAAAATCGTGTCTATTTGAAATTCTTTATAAAATATTTTTTACCTCCTTATATAGACAGTCCAAAATTTAACAAAAGATTTTGGTATCATACGAAATTTTGATAAATGAAAATTGTGTCGAGAAATTTTGTTTTTTAACAATATTTTCGGACCTCTAATCTGAGATCTCTATATGATAATGAAATATCCTGTTTGATAATACATACATATTTACGATAATTTAACAAAATTAACTAAATTTTTATCTTGGGTACTTATTGGAGAAAATCCCTTTGAATTTATTATTTAATGAGCCTTCGAATTAATAATGCATAATTAGTGACAACATTCTTTTACAAAATTACTTATATTTTGATATTGGTTCAGGGCGACTGTAAATTTATTTTCTATATGTTTTAAGATATTAAAAAATAAAATTTACAATTTTCAAATAATTAATTTAAGTTTTTGATTTAAGTTTTTTGTTTTTTTTTTTTTTTTTACAGATTAGATTATTAAATGAAATACTAAATTAATAGCTAATATTATCCGATATGTGCGATAAGATATCACTTGTCTTATTAACTGGTATGCCAGGTAAGTTAAATCAATCTACATTATATCAATGGCTTAATTAGATTTACAGCTTATACACATACATATAAGTATATGTAAGTAATAGCTCTGTACATTAAGGGACTATAATTATTCGATACTACATTTTATTTGGTCTGGAATTATTGTGTTTTTACAATTTAAAATTGTGTTCATAATGTGGCTAACTAAATTGTGTTTAATTTATAATATAAAAAAAAAATTTATTTACTTAGAACATTAATTTTTAGCGCCGTCAATATTTTATTTTAGAACAATTATTTTAAAATTTCTATTGGTTATTTATAGACAAAAAAAAAAAAACGTATAACGTAAACATACCTCGTGTCTCACTAAAAAAAAAAAAAAGAAAAATAATAAAAATTCTCTTAAGTAATTTTGTTGAATTGGCTATAAAAAAAAGATCACTTTGCTCCCCACTTAATCTTATTATGAGGGAAAATTTTCAGTATATCTACATATACTTATGTATTAAGAATATTTGACCTATGATCCTGAAAAATTCTAATTATTTTTGTAATTTACATTGCCACGATCTCTATCAATTATACATACATATATAGTTTTTTTTTTTATTATCTTAAGATTATGACACCAAAAATAATTCTTAAATTTTTAAAATATTTGCAAAATAAAGAAAAAAAAAAAATTTGAACTTTCTATAAGACCTTGACATTATAATTTAAAATTAGAAATATAATCTTTTTTTTGCATTTTTCAGGTGTTGGCAAAACTACAATAATAAAAAAGCTATTTAATTCATTAAAAGATAAACAAATTCAATGTTATGGATTCTATACAGAAGAAATTCGAAATAAAAATAAAGGTGAACGTTTAGGTTTTGATGTTATAAATTTAAATGAAAATGAAAGGAAACCTTTAGCACGTTCTGAACAGAGTGCTATAAGGAGACCAAAAATTGGAAAATATTCTGTTTACATAAATGAATTTGAAGATATTTCTTTAAAAATTTTCTCAAATCTAAACGATTTCAATTCCACAAACAATAGATTTTGTTTAATAATAGATGAAATTGGAAAAATGGAATTATTAAGTAAAAAATTTGAAATTGAAATACGGAAATTAATTGAAAAAATTAAGTGTAATAATATTAAAATTATTGCAACAATACCAGATCAAAATCGTGTCAATTTAAAAATAATTGATCAGCTTATATCATTATCAAATGGGGTAATATTTAATATAACTAAAGAGAATCGAAATCAAATTTATAATGAAATTGAAGATTTGTGTCACAATATGTTGAAATAATATCATAAAACTTTCGATAACAGCCCAAATTACAAGAAAACGTTGTAAACTTTAAAAGAAAAAAGTTTATGTATTTAAAAAAATAACAATAAATGTATCTTTTACAAGTAATTCATAATTAACAATATTATTGGATATATAGTATTACATGTTCATAATATTTCAAAAAATATGAAATTTACATTAATGTTGTTCATGATTTTGGTTCTACTTTAACTTCTCTGAGTGATCTCTTGCGAGAACGTTTTGGCGATTTTTCAAAATCCATTCCCAAATATTTTTCTTGAGTTAAATTCCACATTCCTTCTTGCCGCTGTACTAAATCGGGATATCGTGATTCAAAACCAACATCTGGTGGTAATAGTAATTCCCATTTTTTTTCTGGATTTAATTTTGCTATCGATGTTAAAATTTCTGTTGTTTCTTCTGGAGGTAATTGTGTGGCTATTATTACTTTACGACGATGTAAATATTCTTGTTTGGAAAATTTATAAATCTACACATAAAATAAAAGTCATAATTAGTATTTATATAATTGAAAATCAGTATTTTCTAAAATATTACCACATAATCTCTAGCACGGCACATTAATTCAGCGCTAACACCATTTGTTTTTGATACAGATTCTTCTGGATATAATATTTCTGATTGTACAACCCAATTCCCTCTAATTAAAACACCAATTAAAGGTAAATTTCTAAGAACTTTTTCGGTTGTGATATCTTGATCACATTTTTCTAAAATTGTCATAATATCAATGAATGATAACATTCGACCATCTTTCAAAATATGTTTTAATTGATTAGTTATATTCATTGTTTTGAGTTTTGCTTTACTAACAATATTTGATGGTAAAATAGATTCTAAATTTTGATCAGAACGTTCTGGAGGAATTAGTAATTCTATATATTTTTTACCACTCATACTCAAAGCATAATCTGCTATATCAGTTTTATTAGAGAATAGTTTTTGTCTTTCCTTTTCGGCAGTCGGTGAATTGCTTGGATACCACATTGCCTCACACCATGGTTCTTCGGCAGATTTTTTTATAAAATGTTCATAACTTTTTTCTAAAGCTTTTTTAACACTTTCGGATGTTTGACCTGTTTTTGAAAATTTTACAGTAACTTGTTGTAATTCTTCATCTTCATCATCAGCATCTTGTGAGGCAGCAGCTTTTTGTTCTGCTTTTGTTCTTTTATCTTCTTTATCAAAATATGAAAAGTTAGGACGCATTTGTAAAATGTCTGCAATTGGAGTCAAATGCATTTCTTTATCAAAAAATATTCCCACAAAATATTTATTGGAATTTTCAATTGGCTTTGAACTAATATAAGCTTGTTTGTCCATAATTCCATTTGGAAAACTTGGCCTTTCATTTTGATTTTTAGTTGATGTTTGTGTTTTACCATCTGATGCTATTGCAAAACTTTTCCCTTTAAAGCGATCATAAAATTTAGATTCACTATCCACGTGGAAATCTATTTTAATTTCTCGATTAATAGGCTTTATACAAGAATTAACTATATCTTCACCGTCAGTACTTCTATCGCTACTTCGATTCGGAAATTGTAATACAAAAAGGTTATTTTCTAAAGATTTTGACAAAAATATTGGAATCTGAAAATGAAATTCTTTTATAATTTGTAACAAAGATAAATTAGATATTTACTTCTTCAACAATAGGATCATCATCTTCATCCATATCTCTTCAAATTTTAATATTGTAAATTAATTCAAAATTAGCAAATTTTTCTTATTAAATAATTCTAAATATTTATATAAAATTTTTTTGAAGAAAAATAAATAATTTTAATATGTAAATAAAAACAAAAGTCACTTAACTAGAACCGTTCATATAATATTGTATATACATATACACAAGAATGGTATATACATAAAACATTTCAAATTTGACATTTTATAAATTCACCAAACCGGCTTTTTGACAATGGTGAATAAATTATGACAGCTAGGAGCTTCAATTTCCCGTTTAACAATTTATGAGTAAGGATGAGGAATCTATTGTAAAATTTGTTCTTCGTATGGTAGAAATATTGGAAGTTAATCACGATCTATTTCTGACAAAATCATTTACAAATCTGACGGACTAAAAATGTTGGATAAGCTTCAAATTTTTATGTATTTAATATTTTTATGTATATTACACGTTTTTTACATATATTAAAAATTCAGTCGAAAATATTTCTGATTACGTAGAGAATATTGAAAAAAAATCCGTTCAGTTTTAATATGAAAGAGCAACAATTGACGCCCATGTACGAACTTGTCAAAAAATATTTAATTCCATATTTTAAATTTAAAATTCGAATTTTTCAATGTGAAAACTGCAGGAAATAAAAATATGTACATATATGTGTTGTTTTCGTTTTTTACAATAACATCAATTTAAATAATGCTTTTTACAAATAAAATTTCGATTTTTATTAAATATGTCAAACAAAGACAGAGTTATGTGTCAATAAAGAGTTGTGTAATATAATTTTCTCATTCGCTTATCAACATTAATAAAACCCAATCATTGGTTTTGACATTAGTCAGCTGTTTACAATTTTTTTACAAAATTGTTTTAAAATTCCAAACATTAATGGATAATTCAATAGAATCATCTAAAATTAAGAAAAAACCTTGGAAGAAAAATTTATATGAGAATAAGGATTATGATGATAATTATACACATGAGCCAACTTTTTTAAAGGATTTGGAAAGGAACAAAAATATACAAATTTTTACATTGTCAGAATCGATTAAAGGAGCAACTTTACTTAATAATCAAATATCTTGTATTACTGCATTTCTTATTGTATTTTATTTACTATATGATAATATTCTTCAACCAACATTTGTTCTTGCAATTAGTGGTATATCAACATTTATAGGATATTCAATATTTATAGGTGGATCATATAAATTATTAAATTTAAGTGATGATTTAAAAACTGTTATTACAGTATTATTTTTTGGTTATATATTTTCACCATTATTGTATCGTTTAACTGATAGTGTTAGCACGGATACAATATTTTCATTAACATTTTTTGTATTTTTCTTAAATTTAATATTTTTTAATTATGGTTTACCGGCAGCTATTGTTTCAAAACCAATATCAATTAATTCAGCTATATTTGGTTCAATATGTTTAGCATCAAGATTATCATCATCACATCATGCATTCGTTCTTTTAGTAGTATCCGTTCAATTTTTTGTATTATATCCGATGTTTACTGAAAAATTTTGGAAATCATATTTTATTATACCAATTATATGCTGTTGTTCATTAATATTATTTATATATTCTTTATCAATTCTAATGACATATTTATTTGTTATGATTTTTATTAATTTTTTTTGCCCTTGGTTATTTGTAAGATTACAGAAATACAAAAATAATATTCATGGACCATGAGATGAAGCTATTGTTAAAAATTCCATTAAATTGTAAATTAATAAAAATATTTATGTAATATAATATATAATATTGTATTTTAATAAAATTAAACATAGTAAAATATTGTAAATTAATTAAATTTTTATTAGGTATACAATAAATATAATTTTATTTAACTGCAACACAATTGAAATAGAATAGTCATTAATATATGTACATATGAATTTTTTTTTATTGCTCATATTAAATTTTGAAAAAATGTTTTATTGAGTCCGTATAGCTCATACGGAAAGTTTCCGCTTTTTAAGAGAAATATACCTAGCTAATTAAGATAAATCTACATATATGGTTTTGCTATTAGAGTTTAAGTAGATTTTAGGTCCAAATTTGACTCTGTTTCAACAAAGAACTAAAAAATATTCAAAATATGTCATAATTACTTACAGATTAGAGCATCGTGTTATAAGAATAAGTAAGACATCCTTACTATCACTGCCCCCCCTATTATTTATATTTCATATCTGGGATAATGAAGCAAGCAGTATGTTTCCAAATGTATTGTTTATTCAAATCCACTGCTAATAACAATTGAAAAGATAAGTAGACACAAGGGGTTAACTAATATTTTGACGAAATGATCGATTTGTTCGGATAGAACATCATTAAATTTCATATATTTTCAACTGTGATTACTCTTATAGCTAGAAACTTAATAGAAGACGAGATTGACAGTGCACATTAGGAGTTAAGTAACAAATAGAATTAATATTTTTACAATTTGTTAATGAAAAAAAAAAAGTATCAGAATGCAAATGTAAGTTAACCCTTTTGTCCACTTACCCGCTTCAAATTGATTAATAATTCAAGAATAATAAATTTGAATAAATAAAATAAAATTAAACAATTTTTTTTAGTTTTTAACGTTCTTCATATAATTTATTTCTTTTCACTTTATTCGTGTTTTATTTGTTTTTTTTTTTAATAACTTTTTTTTATAAAAAAAAAATACGGGATTTATAGTGTGATTTTGTTTCAATATAAACAATAATTTGATAAAATTAATTTTTTAACCTACAAAGACCAGTTTTTACTAGAAAATTAAATATAGATATAAATAAGGTATTATTTAAATTCTTTTAATTAAATCATAAATGAAATTATTATAGCTTTATATTTAATTAAACATAATTAAAACAAAAAAAAAATATTTTTAAAGTGAATCTTTTCATATTTGAACTGGTTTTTTTGAAAGTGGTATAAGTCCACTTGTTAAAAAGGCTAAGTTAATGGTAATTTTAGTGACTTATAGACAACTTCTCTCCACTATTTACAATCAAAATTTCAACAGAGTTCTATGTAGACATAAAACTAACAAATTATGTTACTATGGCCAGAATGTTTAAATTGATTCAAACGCAAGCCCATAAATATCTGAATATGTAAAGAAATGGACTTATACGACTTTCAAAAAAACCAGTTCATTTTATCAAATTCAAAATTAGGTTTCCCTAATTTGTTATGTTACAAATTTAATACAAATGTATATAATAAAATAATTAAAAAAATATTATATTTTTGAAAACATATATTTTTTTTTTTTTAAAGTGAAATTATAAAAATAATTACGTTCATATTTTCTAAAACGTATCATTTGAGGTGAGATAATATATTCTTTAAAAATTTTTGTAATTTTCAGAATAAAATTAATAATTTTAAAATTTGAGGTACTATATATATATAGATCTACGGTAGGCTAGTCAAATACCTAGCTAACTCTCTATGACTATAGAAACTAGGGCATGATAGATATCATGCACTAGCCCTATACTTCTCCTAGGAGTGAAGAAGGAAAACAAAAAATATATATATAGGTACTGAAAATATAATGCTTTTTCATAATATGCGTCTAACACATAATCTTTGTATTTAAAATAAAATTATTTATTTTAAAAACTGAATATATTTATTTACTTTTTTGTTTTGTTTTTTTTTTAAATTTTTGGTATATAACACATTAGATAGGAGGTAGAATTTATTTAAAACTTATGAAAAAATATATATTAATATTATTAGAAATAAAATTTTTACGAATAAAATTTAAGATTTTATTTTTAAAAAATTATGTTCTCAATATTTACGTACACTAAGTCCTCGAGATACGACATCTTCTAATACGACATTTCGTGTTACGACATGATATAAATTTGGATCATTTTTATTCGGCTTACGACATTGTTCCTAATACGACATTGAAAATTTAAAAAAAAAAAAAATGTTTTTTTTTGACAGATTTTACTGTTTTTTGAATAAAAATCTATACCGAATTTAGTTATAAAACGAGACTAAAGCACATACTTCAACAATGAACTCTTTCTAGTTAAAAATTCTAGTTAGTAGTTAAGAATACGAATTGAAGTGATAAAATATCAACTTATTTAGATTTTATTTTATTTATTTTTGTTACATCATTGAATTTTTTTGATTTTGTTATTATATTTTGTTGTTTTTTTTCAAACTTTGTTACCTTTTTGTAAAAAAAAAAAGGTAAATTATTTTATAACATAGTTTGTCTAATTCACTTTTTGTTTCAATACATTTTTTTTTGCTCCTCAAACGACAATTCGAGTTACGACATAAATTTCTGGAACCAAAAATGTCGTATCTCGAGGACTTAGTGTATTTGTATAATAAAATTGGGATATTTCTTTTAAATTTTTTTTTAGAAATAATACATTTGCATTTTTTAAATAATTTAAATATGTGTAATTTATAAAAAAAAATAATTAAAAGAATTAAGAGTAAGTAACAGAATAATAAATTTGATAACAAATTTTTTTTACAAAAATTATCACATAGATTTTATTTAAAAATTTTAAGAAAAAAAAAAAAAATTATTAAAAAAATAAAAATAATTAAACCCATTCTCTTTTATATAAATAAATATGTACAACAAATTTTAATAAAAATTTTGTTCGTTTTTTTTTTCAATTATTCTTAATTTTTATCATTTTTTTTTATTATACCAACTATAATATATATTCAATATTGTTATACAAATTTAAATTCATAATTTTTTATTTAATAAACAACAAAAAGATATCAGCATTTTACATTTTATTTCTTTTTTTTTGTATATATTGAATTTTTATTTAATTTATTTTTATTTAGTTTTCTTAATTAATTAATAATAAATGGAAATATAATTAAATATATACATAAAATATAATATATATATATATATATATTTGTTTTTATTTTCTTCTATTTTTTATTATTTAATTTTAATAAGTCACTTTATTTATAAGATATTTTTTAATAATTATGGTAGTTACATATAACAACAATAAATTAATACTAAAAATATTGTAAATAAGTAGAGGAAAAATTTCAATAATTAAGTGTAAATGAAAAAATATTTTATCTGTTTTTTTTTTTTTTTTTTATATTTTAATTATTTATTTTTTTAATTATACATATTTTATTTAAAACGGCTAAAAAAAAAAACACAAACATCTTGTATGAAAATTAAGTTTTTGTGGGTTTTTTAACATTTTCTTTTTTATTGTGGGGGGGGGGGGGGAGTTTCGTTTACGCACGCTGCGCTGATTTAAGTTCTACATTTGAACTAGAATATCTAAATCGCAGTTTTAAACAGTATGCGAAAATTCTAACTAAGTTTTTTTTTTTGTTTACGCAGTCTACATATTCTGAAACTTTTAAATAATCAGTAGTTCGAAAATAACAGTAATAATATTGTTTATGAAATTGTTTCCTAAATCCTTTACGTCTTCCAATTCATTGCAAAATAAAAAAATTTAAACAAGATTTGAAAAGACTTATATCTGAATGTGCCATTTTAAAATTTAAAAATTTTTTTTTTAATTTTTAAATTTAATTTCTTTAATTTTTAAATACAATAATTTCTTTATTGAAGATTGAATTTCTGAATGCACTTTATATTATGCAGCCAGTAATTTCCGAACGATCTATATTTGAATTGAATTGAATGAAAGGTGAATTTTCGAACGTACTACAAGCTAAAACTATTCTAGAACTGAATAAACGAAAACCCCCTAAGATATTTTTTTTGTAATTTTTAATCTGATACGAAAATTTCTATAAATTAATTTTAATTTTGCAAATTTGAATGGTAAATAATGTTAGTAAAAAAAATGAAGAAATTTGAATTTTAATATTGCTTGGAATCTATTGTTCTTTTAAAAGTGAAATCATGTCGGGGTGGGGGGGGACAAAAATATAATTAAATTTTCATTTTGTCTAAAAGTGTGAATAACCAAACTCTTATTTACATATTATATTAGTAAAAAAAACAAGTTGAAATAATCAGATAGCACATGGTTTACAAATTAATAATTTAAAAATAAAATTTAATAAATATTTTGTATTGTAATTGATTCAATTTAATTAAACTCGAATTTTATTTAAAAACCAAAAAAAAATATTTTGTAAAGAAGATAAAAATACAAAAAATTTCCAAGCTTTGAGAAAATTTTTTTTTAAAAATTCATATACATATGTATGTAGAGAAACCTACAATCACTTAATTATCAAGACCCGGTTTTGTTATAAATTCAACAATTTATATTATTGTTATTATATAATTGTGATCTTTGTAGATTTATATTGTTTGTTTTGCATCTTTTTTTTTTTTTTTTTTTTTGTAACTTACATCACAGAATTTTTTCAACATGTTTTGTAATAATTTCAAAAATATTAAAAATAATTTTAATTAAAAATTTTTATATTTAATTTTCTTTTAATAAAAGTAATATTTTGTTTAAAAATATTTTAAGATTTCCTATTAATATTATAGAATGTGATATTATTTTCGAATCGTATTAGAATTTATAAAACTCTAATCTTCGGAATTTTCAAATTAAAAACTATGAAATGGAATTCTAAAAATTACATTTTGCTCAATATTTTTTTTAAAATAGTTTAATAAGTTTTTAAATTAAATTTTTATTTATCTTTATCTTTTTCTTTATATATTGCAAACAAAGTGGTAACTTTAACAAAACAATTTCAACAAAAGCTAGTTATTTTAACTGGGATAAGCCCAATAATCTTTATGTAATTATTATGAAAAATCCAATTATAATCCAGTTAGAAATGAACATGATTTTTCAAAAAATTTTCATATCACATTCTATGACAGAAAATAAAATTGAATTTTTAATTTCTTTTAAGGTTTGAATTTTAAAAATTAAGTTGCTTTATTATTTAATTAAAAATATAAAATTATAAAAGAAAAAAAGCATATTAAAAATTTATATTCAATTCTGTTCACATTTTTTCTAAACATATAAAAAATTTAAAAAGTATTTTTATTAGAAAAATTACACTTATTATGAATTAAAAATTGTTTTTGAATACATTTAATAATTAAAACATATGTTTTTTATTTTATATATGGTAAATTCTTAAACGTCAAATTTTACAAAATCTGAGTTGTCTGAGTTTACGAATACTCTACTGCGTTTTTACTTTCAGTCAAAGTTTAAATTCTTAAACGTTTAAAAAAAGTCAATTAGGCGTCAAAATTACAGATTTTTTTTTTTACCTGCAGACAGTCTGACGTAGTAATTCAGTAAATAAATTAGATGTATTGAGTGACTATCATTACGTTAAAAATAATATAAAAAATATTTTTTTTCTTAATTTTTAATATGTAAGTATAAAATTATTTTAAATCTAAAAAAAATTTTTTTTTTTCAAAGTCAATTACGGGTAAAAAGTTTACTACATTTCTGTCCGTAAAAGTTTTATACGTCAGACAGTTTGCAGACTGAAAACAAAATTTTGACGTTAAAGAATTTGCGGATAGTTACATGTATGAGCTAGGTGTTTTTTTTTTTTTGTTTTTGATTTTTGAATTTTAATTGAATCGATCAAATATTTTTAAAATTTTTGTTTTCTTTTTTCAAAAAACACGATTTACACAAATAATTAAAAAAAATTTCCACATCAATTTACAAAATACATAAAATTTTTATACATACATAATTATAATCTTATATTAAAAAAATGCAAAAAATATGAAAAAAAAAATAAAACAACATTTTACAAAAAAAAATTTATTTTTATCATAATTATGTGCTTATGTACGTAACTTATTAATTTTTAAAATGTAAAATTTAATTAATATTTTTTTTTTTAATCCTGTAATTTCTACAATAAATGTTTATTTTTATTTATTTTTTTGTTTTTCAAGAAATCTTATACAAAATTCCTATATCATAATGGACTTTTTAATATTCATCATTGATATTATTTATATTATTTTATTTTAAAATTACAAATATATCAATTTAATCGGAAAATTAGAAAAAAAATTTAATTAATACTCAATATTTAAAAAAGATTATCACACCATATTCTGTAAGTTGCAGTACTAGTTATTATTCAAATATTTTTGATGTTTTCAGTAATGCCATATATATTAATATATATACATATATGTATATATATCAGGCCTCAAAACTGAAATTATTTTCCAAATATTTGAATCGAAAAAATTTTTTCAGTATTCTTTAGTAATTCTCTTTTTATTTAGTATAATTTTAAAAGCCATCTAGATTGTAATAATTATTTTTTTTTCACGTTTTTCTTCAATTTATTTTTAAATTCTATTTCTTATTCAAAAATTTTTACTGAATTACATTCAGTACCCTTCCATTTGGAAGACAAGAAGAGGTTGTCCGGGATTTTTTTTGAAATTTAAATTTTAAATTTCAAAAAATATGTAAAATCAGTAGACCCAAAAATATTAATCAAATTCCTAAACACAAATAAATTCTGACACATCTTCCATTTAAAATTAATAAATTCTATTTTTCATATAAATTTGTAATTTATTTTTAATTTGCTTTCTGATTATGATGGCCTAATAGATATTATATATGACATTATTTTCAGAATAAAATCAAAATTTGATATTCTATACTGACAGCTTAAATACTTTTTAATAATATCTCCCATTACCAGTTGCTCAAATTACTGGCAGCAAAATTTTCTTGCAAGTTGAACTGCAAGTAAACAAGCAAGTAGAAATATTTGAATGTGTTAGTAAAATTTTTGTATGTATTGCAACTTTCTTGCAAGTAACTTGCATGTGTAAATGCTGGGTTAAGTAATGGGACAAATAAACAGAATAATGGTTGTTACTTTTCTAATTTGTTTTCTCTTTAAATTTTTGCGAAAAAAAAGAAAATTATTTCAATTTTAAGAATATTAATTAGTAATAATTAGGAATATTCTATTATATTATTCAGAAATTGTATTATTAGGTATGCTGTATAAAATTTTTTATTTAATAAGTATATATTATTTTTAATTATTATTTATTATACCTAAATATGCATTAAGAATCGAAATAATTTTAAATTTTCTTCCTAATTTTTTCCAGAAAAAAAACTATTTTAATTTTTCCTTTTTTATATTTATAAATTTTTTTAATATTTCTATTATCATTGAATCGTTTATTTTTTTATTTTATTCGTAAATATTATTAAAACAAGTAAAAGTAAAATTACAATAGGATATTATAAATATATTTCATACAATGAACACAGATATAACAATGATTACTTATATATATCGATAAGTAATCAAGGTATATATTAGACGATAATATTTTAATACTTTTAGAATAGAAGCAACTGAAAAAAAAAATTACATTAATTTTTTTTTTATATATTATTTATATACTCTTCTATTCATATATATATATATATATGTTTCAATATATATTAAATATACATGTTGTGACGTAAATATTTAAATATACAATTAAAATAACAAAAATAAAAAAATATTAAATATATTTTCTTATTTTTAGACATGTTACAATTACAATTTCTATTTTTCATTATTAAAACTTTTAATTTTTATTTTTTGCATTTTATTTTTCCTTTCAAAGAAAAAAAACAAAAGAAGATTGCATAATTATGTACTATTTAAAAAAAAAAACAAATTATTTGTATTTTCTTTTTTTTTTTTTATTTCTTTATCTCATTTCATTAATTTCTACCGAAAAAATTTAAGCAAGTATATACTTTATATTTCATTATCATTTGTAATATTATGTATTTTCTTGTATTATTGTATAAAAACTAAAATGATGCTATATTTTTATGATTTTATTTTTCAAATGAAATTATGGTGTATACAATAAAATAAGGCTTAAGCACATTTCTCTAATTGACTACTAATTTTATTATTCAAACAATATTAATTATATTAACATTAAAGTAATATTCAGTTCTGATAAGTTATTGTTAATATAGGAGCTGGAATAAGTTATTTGATACGAGAAGAACTGTCGATGACATTGTAAATATTCAAATAAATTCTTTGAATAAAAACAATTGGATAGACCCATAACTAGGGAAGATTACTGTGATATATCAATTATTGATTAATGTGATATAAAATTGGTGATGATCCTATTTAATTCTACTCAGTAATAATAAATAAAATTTAAAATGAAAACAGTAAAATTTTCTAATAATTTAAGCCTTATTTTAAAAATATTAACCTTAAATCAAATGAAAAAATAATTTCTCTAATGACTTAATATAAAATAAAATGTGTTATTTTTCATCCTACTATTACTAACTATTTTTTATTATCCCTACATTAATCATCACTTTTATAATATGTTTTATAACAAAAGAAACAAAAAAAAAAAATCTTTTTTATTTTTTTAAAATTCTATTTAAAAATTATTACGTGAATTTAAAAAATATAAAAAATTTCAATACATAAATTTTATTAAAAAAAAAATTACTTTTGTTTAATTAATTTTTAATAAAAAAAAAAACCTTATCATAATTTACAAATTATATGTACAACGACGAATACACACTAACAGAATATTAAAATTTAAAATAATTAAAAAATTACAAAATATGCACCATTATTCATAAAAATAAAAAAAATATGCATTAGTATATATGGTAAGTATGCATAATATTTTCATATTTCCATTTTTATATTTTAATTTCAAAAACTTTGTAAGTTTTGATTATTTACCAATCATTAAATAAGTAAATATTATAAAAGTCCTCTATAAAATTTTATGTATATTAAATATAATTTGTATTTATGATATTTTCTTTTTTTTTTAAATGTTTTATTTTCTTATTTTCTTATAATTAACATAATTGCATTTAACAACAGTTCTTTCAATATTTTTTGTTCTAGTTTCATTAAGTTTAAATTTTATGTTTAGTTTTTATCTTTCTATTTCGAAAAAAATTAAAAGCTTTGTCATATTTTATTAAATACGAATAAACATTTAAAATCATTTTAAATTTCTTGTTTTTCTGTTTAATTTTTTTTTATAATTGGGGATTTTAAATAATTCAAAGATGCACTTAAAGTTCCAACTTAAAATCTTTGTTTGCAGAATTAAAAATTTGCTTTTAAGCATTTACAAAAAAAAATGTTTTAAAATTTTAAGCATAGCAACAATTTTTTTAATGTGCATTACTTTTTTTTTGTCTCCGAAAAAAAAAAACGATCGAACTAAGATATTTTTGTAAATTTTGCAGTTTTAATTTATCAAGCGTGCGTGGCTTTATATGATAAGATTTAAGTTAAAACTGAATTATCGAAAATCCCCAATATATTACTAAAAATTTTACAATAATATTTATACATTTTCTTTTCGCAAATGTTTTCTTTTCTTTTTAAGTTTTTTTTTAATTTTTTAATTTTTTTTAATTTTTGTGTTATTTTTTAATTTTTTTTTTATAAAATATTAAAGTATAGAATGTAATAAGCCTATAAAATTTTCTTGTTTTTTTTTTTTTTTATGATTAATATGCAATAACTTTAAAAAAATTCTAAACATAAGGGAATTAATTCTTAGTTATTATTTTAATTGTTTTGTTTCATTTTTTTTTTGTTTGTTTGTTTGTATAGTGGCTATATTTTCTTTTTTAGTTTTCTATTTTTTTCTATTTTCTTTTTATGGACAATTCATTTTATATTTTAATCTTATTTTGTATAATTACTTTAATTATTAATTAAAAGAATAATTTTCGTTTTCGGTTTGATTGATAACATTATTGATTTTTCAATTAAATTTAAATAATAAAATTAAGAATTACTCAATATGAAAATTTAATAAAAAAAATTGTTTTTTCTTTTATTTTTGGTTAAAATAACAAATACAATTTTTTTTGTTATTTTTAAATATATGCATATACATATTATATGCATTTACATAATTATATATTACAATATTTTTCGATTTTTAATTTTGATTTTAAATTTATTAATTTATATATTTTTTAAAAACACATATTTATATTAATAATTAATTATATAATTAATTTATATACATATATATATATATATATATATATATATATATATAGATTTTGTTTTTTTCACAGCGCTTATTAAGTTGCAATGAATAAAATATTATTTATTAAACATCTATTAAATTTAAATAAAGTATTCATTTTAAAATTATTATATTTAATATAATTTTTTTTTAATAGCATTAAAATTAATATTATTTTTACAAATATTGATAATAATAATAATAATATTATATTTGTTAATAATGATAATAAGAAATTTTCAATATAAATAACATTTTTGGTAATAATTATTATTATATTTTGTTTTAAAATAATTTTATATATATGAAATAATTCAAAATTTATATTATTATTTTTTATTATATTTTTAATTATAAATTTTTGTTGTCAAACATTAACTTTTTGTAATTCCTCAACTTCGGCTAATGGTGCATTTGTTGTACCAGTTTGTTGTAAATTATTATCTAAATTACCAACTGTTGATATTTCCAAAAGAGAGCCAGATTCAACATCATTAAGACTTGTTCGATTATTACTTGCATTTCTTTGGCGTACTGTATATGGTGTAGTTTGAGGTGATGGCAGTTGATTCTTAAATAAAAAAAAAAAACATTAATAATTCGAAATGAAAAATTATAACAAAAAAAAAAAAGTTATATTTTTTATATTACAATTTTATTATTTGTTTGGCAGCATGTTGCTTTTATACATCCTTCATCTGTTATCGGACAATCAAGTGCACAACCATCTTGTGAACCACTTATATTTAAACTTGATACACCATCAGACATATTTAATCCTTCTAATTCAATAAATTCTGGTTGTATTGTTGTGGAATGAATACCTTCATTATGAAAAAATTCTTTTACTTTTTCAGCTATTTTCATATATTCTGATAAATTTCGACATCTAAAAAATATTAATTAATTTCATTAATTTTTAATTTTAAATGAAAATATATATAAAAAAAAAAAATACCTAATATGTGCTGAAGCAATAATTCTATCACCAGCTAATTGCCAAACATGAAATTCATGAACTGCAACTACTCCATCAACTTTTTCTAATAATCGTCTTTGAATAGCATCGACCTTTATTAATTTTTTTATTATTATATATATTTAAATTAGTTTCTTTTTATGAAAATTTAAAAATTAAATCATATATTTTATGTGTGTATATGTTATACCTGAATATGTGTTGGAACTGTTTGTAATAAAATTAATGCTGATTCTCTTAATAATGGCCATACCGAATGTAAGATTAATAATACTAAAACAATTGATAAAGCTGGATCCATATAATATTTATATTCCCAATTTGTTTTCCATACAATTAGTGCACTTATAATTACAATGATACTACCTAAAGCATCACTTAATACATGTAAAAATGCTCCACGCATATTCATTTGTGATGAAGAATGTGAATGTCCATGATTAGATTTCTTTGGTTGTGGTTTTTCCTATAAATAATAATAAATATTTTAAAGACTTTAAATTAAAATTGAACTAAGTAAATGTGAAAAAGTTAAATACTGCTAATTATATATATATGAAAAAATTCGACGAAAATTCTCCATAAAAATTTAAAAAATGCGCTTACGTCACAAGACTTTTAAATTCTTGTATAACAATAATTTATTATACTTTACAAATAATTGAGGAGTTAAAGAACAAATTTCGAAATTATTGAAATTACGAAATATAACTTGAAATATTGTATAACAATATACAAAACTAGTTAAATTAAAATAGCAGGAATGACTCAAAGAAATTATTTCTTTTCAGCATGTTTCGATACCATTATAATCTTTTAAAGCTCGTAGTCAATTCGTTGTCATTATAGTATAAATTAAATGAAGAAAGCTACGTCTAGAAAACTTAATTAAAACTTTGCACAACTGCATAACAATTTCTTCCGATATTCAAATGAAAAATTATATTGAATAACATTTAGAAAGTGTTATATATATATATATATATATATATATACATATATGTAATTAAATTTCTTTAATTACAACTTACATAAATAAATGAATTGTTGTCATTATCTAAATCATTATCATCTGTATTTGCTAATTCAACTAATTTACTATGATTGCGTGTTAAACCATGTGAATGTCCATGATGTCCACCATGCTCTATAATAAATTAAAATATAAAGCATAAAAATAATTGTTATTAAATTCATATTTTATAAAATAATAACAATTAATAAAGAAAAATAACGAAAAACAATAATAATTACAATACTAAATTTTTTTTTTTTTTTTACTCGTCAACTCACCATAAAGCAATGCTATACCGATTATATTAACTATAAGACCGACAACACCTGTCGTCACTAAAAGTTCAGGTTCATGAATTTGTTCTTCCTCAATAAATCTAAAAGTGAAAAAAAAAATGTTACAAAAAAAAATATTTATTACTCGTTTTTTTTTTTATTAAATTGTTTTTGTTCAATTTAACCCAGTTTTGGCCGAAAGTATGAAAGTTTTCAAAAATAGTATTTTTAATAATAAATTGCTTAAGAAATATTTGATATTACTGAAACCAAAAAAAAATTAAACAGTTTCTTTCCTCGTAGACCATTAAAATTTTACGTTTTAATTTTTTGAAAGATTGAAATTTTGTGGATATACCTATTTTGCCCAAAAGCAGTCAAACAGACTGCATTTTGTAAGAACAACTAATGTATAAAAAATTTTGTTTAAAATTCATTTTTAATATTCTTTTTGTATTATTTACATTTAAATCACAAGTTATTAGTAAATATTTAGGACGCATATGATATAAAATAAACAACTTGTTAGAACAAGTATCATTGCATAAAGATACAAAAAAAACAATTATTGAGCCACTGCAAATTATCTAGTTGCAGCACGTTGAAATCGACAATTTATCATATTGCATGCCATTTAGCTTGCATGCCATATCACATACTTGCATGCCATTATGGTAACGATCATCGAAATAAATATTATTTCAATACAGAACCCCGACATTGGCCATATAAGAAATTTACTCAGTTCAATACCAAATCATTTGATTATTTTAAATTTCACTAGCAGTGAAAATGAAAGCTTTTGGACAATATAGGTATGACACATTTATATACCGGAAATTTAAGAATGGGGGGGAGGGGGGGCCTAAATACGATTATTAATTAACGCATTTTTATGTTGTACAAAATTTTCTCAAATTATATCATTGCATTCATTCTAATTAATATTAACAAGCATTTAAAATGACTTCCTTAGGGCAATCTAGTGTTAAATATAACAAATAATGAGTTTAATATAAATAAAATGTCTAAAATTTAGTCTAAGTATAAAATGTCTAAGATTCTGGTACAGCTCTAATATTTTAATTTAAATACCAAAAATTGGGTTAAATAAATTCAATATTTAATGTTATAACAATTTAAAAACAATGTAAATAAATTTTTATTTACCTTTTACATGCTTCTATTGTTATACTAAAACATAAAGCTACTAAGAATACAGCATTAACTAGAGCACCTAAAACTTCAGCTCTTGCCCAACCAAATGTGTTTTTAGACCATTTCTTTGGTGACATCTAAAATAAAATAATGAATAATATAAAAAACAATTAATATGATTAATAATAATGTGAAAAAAAAAATTTATTTCTAAAAAAAAAAAAATTTACGGGAAATCGCAGTTAATCATAAAATGAAAAGAAATTTTGACACAAAAAATAGTAGACAAAACCACTGTGGCAATGATAAAAAAAAAATAAACTGAAAAAAAAATTAAATATGAAAAATGCAATAGAAATTAATTTTTAATTATAAATTTCGCAATAATAATTTTTCATAATAAATTTTTATAATTATTAATTAAATTCGCTTTTTTGTTCCTTGGTACATAAGTGTATGAAATTGAAATTTTTAATGGTTTTTAATTATTTAACTCTCATTCTTTAATTAAACAATATTGTTTGTTAAATACATACATTAAATTTTTTTTAAAATATTTATTTAATTATAATTATTTTAATATTATTTAGGTTAGTTTTTCTATATTGTTTATATGTTAAACCATTAATTAATTGTGGATTAAATCGTAATCATTTTTGTTAATAATGAAAATTATTTTGGAAAAAAAACAACAATTAAATTAGAATTATTCGATTCCCCATAAATCTAATAAATTTAGAAATTTACAAGTTTTATAAATATTATTTAAATATAAATTCCAATTTGAAAATTTTTTAAGCTAAACGCAAAAAATATAGACCGAAATAATTACTGAATTCTGAAACTGTATTCAATTTAATTTCAGAAATCTTAAGAATCCAAATTTCTATAATCCTAAAATGATTAAAATTATTAAGCTTTCTTATATCGTTCCGAAATCTTTTTGTTCTAACATAATATTTTCAGTTTCGTAGCATGCCTTAAAATTCTAAAAGATTTTTAATGATTTTTTTTTTAAATATGAAAAAAAAATATGCTGAAAAAATATTTTAAGTTTGAAAATTATCGTATAGGAAAATATAAGACACTATGAAAGAGTCAATTACATATGTAGCCAGTTTCTTCCGATCTGTAATATAATAGATAAGTTGGGATTTTAAGTGTATATCATATTTATTACATACATATATAATTCTTAGGACCTGGATCGTTTATCTACTCGGAATTAACCTGCTATTTTACTCGGAAAATGAGAAGAAAGTGAGTAATTATCATATACTTGTATAATGTAATTTTCCCGAGTGAGAAGGAATTATTTCATATTGCATATCTTGTTATTTTTTTCCCCCAAAATGTATACAACATTTATTCACATTGTTTTTGAAAGTAAAACATTCAGTCAATAATTTGAGAAAAAATGCAAAAATCCAATTTGAAAAAAAAAATAAGTAATCTTATTGGAAAAGTGAAAGATCAATTAGAAAATACTTATAATTCTGATTTGAAAGTGAATAAAAAGTGAGTAAAAAAGTGAGTAATCCACGATCAGGTTGTTAATTTCAATTTTAGTTAGTTATAAACATGTAAAATTATTTCCAAATAATTTACAAGTTCAAAGCGAATACAAGTAAAATTTGTTATTTACTTACTTAACACAAATAAAAAATTAAATTAATTAAATAATTTTAATTAATTCGATTGAAATTTAATTATGTTTTTTTTTTAATATTTAATTTCCATCATTTTAATTTTGAGCTTATTGAACACGTACTTAGAAAGAAAATTATTAATTCATTCTCACCACATTATGTGTCAAAATAAAATTATCTTTCAAAATTTCATTGAAATTCCCGATCATAATTACTTATAAAGAAAAATACATCAATACGGATTACATGTCAAAATAATTTTTATAAATATTTATAAAACTTATTAAAAATTTGAAATATCGTAAACATTTTCGAATTTTTTTAAGTTTCAATAACACAAAATAGGTTAGAATATTTGACAATTAATAATATCATTTGCCTTAAAATTAAACTAAAAAAAAATAAAAAAAAAAAAACTCACCTTTACTGATAAAAATGATATTACTAATGCCGCTATATCACCTAACATATGAAAACTATCAGCAACTAATGCCATTGAATTTGTAACATAACCGACAACAATTTCAACAAAAAAGAAAAATGCTGTTAACCACATCATCGATAATAATCGACATTTTCTACCAGTATATTTTCCCATTTTTGAAAATCTGAAAAAGATCATAAAGAGAGAAAAAGAAAATTATTAAAGATTTTAATATTTAAAAAAAAAAATATTTGAATATTTTTTTTAATAATAAGAAAATTATTTGCTTTTATTTTTTTTTTACATCATTATTCAGTTTTTTTCCAAAACTTTTGCTTTTTAAGGCAATTTTTTTAGTTGCTTTTGTGCACTTCCTTCCTTTTTCAGTACAAAGAAACTTTTTGAAAATTAACAAAAAGTTCTTAAGTAGGGATTTTTTTTAGTAAAACAAAAAACGAAAATTTTTTAAGAAAAAAAAAAAAGGACTATAAATTAAAAGATTTTTAAAATCAAACAAGAAAAAAATTTATGAAAATAAACAAAAAGAAAAATCTTTTATTCTTTTCTATATTTTTTTTTTTGTTTGCTGACGCTCGATGCTACTTGAAACGTCTAAAAGTTATTGATAATGACAACTTAAAATAAAATTTTGTTTTGTTGAATGGTGAAAATTTTTTCATAGGTGGTGTTGATTGTGTGTGTGTGTTTTTTTTTCTCTTGTTTCTTGTCAAACAAGAAAAAAGCAAAGAAAAAAACAAAATTTTTGTTTCAAAAATTCGGAAAATATTTTAATTTTTTTTTTTTTTTTTATTTTGACTCTTTCAAGTGAAAATTTTAAGAAAAATAATAATAACAAATTTTTATTTTCGTTTGTAAAAATCACCTTTCCGTGGTGATTATTATTATTTTTTCATTTTCTGACTTGTTCTGTTCTGTTCTGTTCTCTGACGATAATGAGCAAACAAAATAAATGCAAGAAAAGCAAAAGCAAAAAAAAAAAAAAAACAAACTAAAGAAAAAAGACAGAAAATGGCATGGTGAATTTTTTTCTATTTTTAAAAAAAAAAACAGAGGGATGATGAGTTTTTTTTTTTTTTTTACTTTTTATACAAATTTTTTCTTTTCCCTTTTTTTTTTGATCATTTTTATAAGTAGTGAAAATTTTCTTTCTTGTTTTTGCCTTCTTGTTTTTTTTTCATAATTTTTTACGTAGTTAAATAAAAAAACTCATGTTTTGCTACATATATTCATACATATTTAAATAAAATAAATAAGAATAGAAAAATAACAAAATTAAAATATGTATTTTGTTGTTATTTAATTTCAATAAATAAATAGGTAAATAAATTAAATAAAAAATTCAACTATATTATATTATATACATACATAAATAAATGGGTAAAATAGAAAAAATTGTGACTCTCAAAAGGTTATTTTGAGTATATTTAATTAGTATCCTGCTTAAACTATGGTAAATGGGCATATTTAAATGTGTATGCTTTGAGAGTATTTATAGTATTTACTTACTGGTTCTCAAAACCCCTCTCCATAGTCCAGGTCCCTCTCTCTGGAGTTGAGAAGTACAAGGCGAAAAATTGTAAAGAACATGAACAAAATTTTGTACGCTCAATGTATGTACACGTGTAAAAGGGCTCAATAACATGTTTTTTTCGAATGACATGCTAAGAAAAGCGTTTAGCTACAAATTTTGAATAAGAATTACATAATTGTTCTAGAATTTACGGTAGACTCGTCACCTACTTAGCAAAATTCAATGACGTGCATCAGCCATATGCTTCTCCCAGGACCAAAGTAGGAATAAAAAAAAATGATTCTAGAATTGCATATTATTTCAAAAACATTTTTCTTTATATCTCATATTACGCAAATAGAAAACTCATATTGCTTAATTTTATATTAAGGGTCCAAGCTCGAATAAGATTTTCCCGAATTAAGAACTTTTATTGAGATTTTCTAAAATTTTAAATTACAAAATCTGAGAATTTGTTTTACTGCATGAAATTTTTAACTAAACTGTTTTTTTGCTGTAAGTTTACGATATTTATTAAATTTACATAGATATTCATTCAAAAAATTTACATAAAATATTTAAGAACATCTGTTATACATAACGTATAAAATGTTATTATAACATGAGTAGATAAAATTTTTTCTTTATAAAGTTGTTAACCTGTATTATTAGCATTTTTTTTTTTATTCAATGTGTTATACTTCAAGTTGTTATACATATGTATGTATGTACGTGATATTTCATATAAGTTTGTAATATGCTCTTTTTATATTATTAAATATAATAGAAATGTATAACCTACATGTAAATAAAAATATTATATATCTACACTTATTTATTTGAATATGCATTCAAGTGTATATAAATATATAAGTAAATATGTATATAAACTTTTTTTTTATACAAAATTATAAGCAAATATTGGCAGATTTATAACCAAACACAAGACAAAAAAAAAAAAAAAATGAAAAGAGAAAAAAAATAAACAAAAGGAAATTGTTATAGGAAAAATGATCAAAATTGATTCATAACAACCAAGCTAATAATATAAATACACTCAAAGAAAATTTTAAGTAAAAAATATTTAATTTTAATACTTAAATATTATAAACGAATTAGTATTTGCTCAAAATTAAGTACTGTATTAAAATTTGACTGACTATATTCTTCAATTGAAATAAAAAAATTTAATTTTAATATGCTAATCGTTTCCAAAAAAAATTATCATATTTGAATTATCATTTCAGGGATTGAAACTAAAAATTCATACACTGGAAGCATATACTTACCCCAATTATATTAAAATTAAATTCATAGTTTTCGGCGTTGCCAAGGTTTGAAACTGAATTATTACAAAATATTACAAAAAAAATACCCAAAATTTTTTGAATTTTCTTTTCTTTTTCAAATGCGATAACGCATTTTTATACAATTCGAAATACGTTACATTGTAAAAATTTTTTTAAGATACAATATGGAACGTGATACTCAAAGTTTGCGTTCTTTTTTTTTTTTCTTACAATACGGAATATTGCCTTACTTATATATTATATAATACTTATATAGTATATAAATACTATAGTTCTTCTATTAAATACAATACTAATTTTTGCACTTTTATTATTAGTTTAACTGTTATATTGATTGCAATTAATTTGAATTGAGTTAAACATGCTATAACATTTCATTTTCTTTAAATTTATTTTATTTTTTACATTTATATTTTTTCTTTGAGTGTACAATGAACAAAAAATGAAATTTTCCAATATGAATATTAATCAGAAAAACAACGGAAAAATATAACAAAATAAACAAATGAGGTGCTATAAAAATCAAAAACTGTTATATCGATAAAGTCTAAATAATAATAATAACAATAATATAATGCACATTATTATTTTTATATAAAAAAATTTATACTTATTTTCAAGTTAACAGTATAAAGTAAGTAAATGCATAAGTAAATACCATACATACATATATATATATACATATATAACACATTTTTATTACTACCTTGTTATGGTTAATGACATCTATAGGAAAAAATCAACAAAAAAACAAGAATACTTATAATAAATAAAAAATTAGGGGTTATTGAATTCGTGCCAATAAAAAACAAAATTCGTAAAAGTTAAGAGGGGGGAAAAAAGTTCTTTTCAGAAACAAAGAGTAAGAAAAATGGCAAAAAAACAAGAAAAACAAAAAAAGAACTTTAAGGAACAAAAAAAAAATTTTCTTTTTCCGATTTTCTTCGAGTTTTTCATAATTTTTTTTTCTTATAGGGAAATTCCAACAAATTTTTGTTCATATAACAAAATGACATGTAATTTTAAATCATTTTCAATAAAAATTTTAGTAAATATAAAAAATTTCCACTTGATATTCTTAAATAAGTGTAACTACCCTACATTTCTTACATTAATATTTTATTTTATTAATAATAATAAATATTTTTTTTTATGTGGTTAATATTAAATTTTTTTTTTTTGGGAAAAATGAATAAAATACCCTGATTTTTTCTATTAAGGCCAACAACAAAAATAACAAAACAAAAATGAAATGAGTACAGTTATATTAGGAAATTTTTATAAGTATACGTAAAATATGAAACCCTTTTGAAAAGTTGAAATTACTTCAATATAGTTACTCATGCACTACATGTGTACATACTTAACTACATGTATATAAACATACATAAAAAGTATACCATTCATTTCTGTTATATTTTTATTTAGTATACAGAAACGAATGTATATTTACATATATGTGCCGAAAATAAAGGATAATAGGCATGTAATAGAGAAAAATTTCCTTTTTTTCTTCTTCTTGTTTTTTTTTTTTTACAATTTGATTGTTAATGAGAAAATAAAATGAGGTTAATGACTCCCTCTTGAATAATTATGATCACATTTTGAAATTGCTTTTTTTTTGAGAGAGAAAAAAAAAACCTAATTTTTTCTCTCTGCCCCCCCCCCCACTCTTCTTTTTATTATTATTGTTGTAAATAAATAAAAAAAATGTTATAAATAAAAAAAAAGCTAAAATAGTTAGATAAATATTTTTTATTTATTAAAAAACAAAAATTTAGATTGTAAACTATAAATAAAATGTAATATAAATCGAAAAGAGAAAAAAATGATGTCATCAAAAATACTGAAATGTAATTTGAAATCAATGGGAGATGAGAGAAATGAGAGAGAAGAAACAGAGGAAGTAATAAGGAGAACCGTAATTGTATGTTATTCCTATTAAATGAAAATATTTTTTTTTTTTTTAAAGGAAAAATATAACTGTAAAAACATAAAATCACTTAATTATTTATGCATTCTTTGAAAAAATGAATTTCTATTTCCCGTTATTTTCTTTGAGAACCATTTTTTTGCAAAAAACACAAATCCTTTGTACTCTTTATGCTTTATGTGCGTATTATTTTGATGTTAACGAAATATAGTACATATTTATATAAATATTGGATACATAGGTATAACAAAAAATTAAAATATTCATAAATACTTGTTATATTTTCGCGTATATTGTTATACATTCGTGTAATTGGCATAAAATTCAGATCATGCAGAAAAAAAAAATTTCTTCCAAAAATTAAATTGAATTTAAATTAATTGATTTATTATCATTATTATATATTAAAA